AGTGTCTTATTGTTCTTTTGTTCTTTTTTTCCCTCTTTTTTTTTTTTTCTTTTTTCTTTTTCTTTTTCTTTTTCTTTTTCTTTTCTTTTCTCCTTTTTATTGTAGAAAAACAAATCGTACGAAGGTCTCCAGAGATTATTAGTCCACTCTGTCGACAAAGTATGTCACTCGAGTAGTTTGGCTATTGATAGATGTTGGTCAAATTGCAAAGATTCTTCATTCTAAGAAGTTAGTTTTGTGGAAACGGTTGATCCTTCTTCGCCACGCGAGCAAGGGGATCCGCATGACGATATTTGCTTGGGCCGCGTTACTCTGTAAATTCCTACAAGCTTCGAGTTGAGCGGCAAGGGCTTGAAACTATCCATTTGGCAGGATGCACCTGAAGAAACTTTGCATTTTACCCCTTTTCAATCAGTCGATCGAGATTTATGATATCTCCAAACTTAGTACCGGTCAAACCGGCGATTTTACTCTGGATACGGACTCTTGTCGCGAGTTAGGCCACGCTCTTAGGCTGCACCACGGAGTTCTGATCGCAAAGAGATTGCACGACTTGTACCATGTGGGAGGATGTTCGTGGATGAGGACTGTCGAATAGCAGTGTGATAGATATTAGGTGGCTTCTATATCGCATGGCCCCAAATAACCCCACGCCCGTCGATATGACACGTTTAATTCACCCATCCCTGTCCTCGTATACCTTTCGGCAACCGTATCACAACATTATCCGTGCCTGTATGTGCTCTTTTGTATGTAGCTATAGCATTTCAGTGCGAACATGGGATTATGGTATGGAGGTTGGATGACCAAGTTGTCTATTAACACAAAGCGCCAAAAACAGAGAAGACTGAGCACAGGAACTTGTCAGTGTGGGGGAACCGCCTGGAACTGCTGTAGGAAGGAAGCTTTTCCAGCAGAAAAAGTGGGCCAGGATACAGTTTAAGCCAGACGGTTCATTTGAATGTTAAAAGCCTCATTCACAGTTCGAGGCCAATCTAATATTTCACCACCAATTTCAGACCTGTCCCCACTAACCGCGCGGTCATGATAAATGCCGTGCCTCCGAGGAGCATCACACCCGAGAAGATCTTCATATGAGTATAGTCTCCACCAGCGTGTTGCAGGATAGCTCCAGCAATTGGACTTGTCGTCAGCCCACCCACCGATGCAAACAAGAATAGCAAACCAGTGCGATATCCAACCTCTTTTAACGGTGAGATCTGAGCGATCAGCGCGGGCGAAAGACTAACATACGCTCCAGATGCAAACCCAAAGAGGGTTGCAAATATAATGATAGGCGCATTGGAGGTAGCAGGAATCCAAAGAGCGAGTACTAGCACGCCGGCAACGATACACATCACTATGAAGATGTTGTATCTCCCGTACCGATCGGACATGAATCCAGCTCCGAGGCGGCCAAAGAGGCTGGCCGCGTTCAACATGGGAACCAAGTATGACGCGAGATCTGCACTCATACCGCTTGCGACCGCCTGGACGATGATATAGTTGATCGGGATAAAGACGCCGTACGTAAGTAGCATGTATCCCAGGAGGGTAATGATAAACACGGGCTCCTTGAATGGTTGGAGCAACTGCACACCGGAAGGTTTTGGCCCTGGCTGTGCAGGACGCCGTGCCTTGACAGTGAAGATGGCGATACCGAGCAGGAACAAGATCATGAACGCGGAAATTCGCATGCTCCAGCCAAAGCCAACTTTGGCTATGAGGCGGTCGACCATGATGGGGAATATCACCCCACCCACGCTGGAGCCTGTCGAGAGAGTAGCAAAAGCGATGCCCCTTTTGCGATTGAACCAGGCGCTTACGGCGCTTAGGGCTACTTCGGTTAGTTTTCACAGAGAATCGACACACGGGAAAGGATATTACCTGGTTGAAATATAGCGGCCGCACCGATTGCGCTGCAGATTCCTTGGGACAGCAAGAGTTGGTAGTATTGGTTGGATATTGACGCCATCATTAGACCGAAGACATGGAAAAATGTCCCTCCAATAATCAGGTATCGAGCACCAAATGTGTCGTACAGCTTCCCAACAATGGGGCCCTGGGTGATCGGTAAATATGGAGTCTACAAAACCTACACGGCTTCATGACGTGGTGACATACCATAGCAAACATAAAGAAGATTTGCAAGGATGGAATCCAGGAGATGGTGCTGGAAGAGAGCTGCTTCAGCAGGTGAGATTCATAATAATTCTGGAATATCCCGACACCTGGTATACGGTTAGCCTGCTTGCCTTCTAAGATATTTCATGACCGTTGGTAGACACTCACTATTGACCCATCCAAAGCTGCAGAATGATGTGCACCACGCACCTACCACCACTAACCACGCAGTCAACCCCCCATCAGGAGGTGCATCGGGCTGGTCTCCAGGCGACAAAGATTTCTCCCTATCCAGCGATGTTGATATGCCCCCCTCATCACCCCGTGGCGGAAGGGCTTCGTGATCTTGGGAATCGGAGCGGCTTGGATTCATGTTAGTTGGGCAATGTGTGTTAACCAGATGGATGGATGATATGCTCATTCATGATACTCCAGTCATATAAGTAAATATATAGGGATGACCTTTTTTTGGCGCATTGTTTATCGTGGTCATGGCATTGAAGTCATCTCGGCTTCGGGATTCCTTGGCGTTCAGCTCGGCTCGGTGACAGAGGGACATCGACCCGACGCTTCGAGAGTCCAAGTGGCGAGCTTCAGGAGGGTTCGTCTACGGCTGGCCCACTGTGCATCAGGGACAATAGGACCTCCTACGTACGTCACCTATGTGTCGTCATATTTGTGCCATCGTGGAATAGGTTGCAATAGTACTACCGATGGTTTACCCATGAAGTCGGGAGGGTAGAAGCTCATCCCGGGGTAGACGATTCTTGCAATTTCTCTGTCGACCACTCTACGGATGCTTAATCTCGAGGACGTGGCAGCTGCTATATGTATACTTGCCCTACATCAATAGAAATATCCCCGTACGGCATGTTGGTAAGGGTATTGATGTCGTGTCCTGCTACTTCAAATGCAAAAAATAGACCAAAGTATGAACTCAGTGAGATTGTCATTGTAACCAACAATTAGAGACATATTCAATCTATGGCTCAAAGCGATACATGCCCAAATTCTCCGAAAGATTAATCCACTCTGTCAACGAACTTGGGTCTAGAGGAGGAGCCAAGAGATCCCCGAATCCATCTGCTGCACCGTCCAAGCTCTGCCGCGAATGCTGTTCAGCCGTCCGTGACTCCAGGACACGTTCGTCAGACGGGCCATGAGCCTGTGTCGGCGAAGGCACCGTGGCGCTCCCTCTCCGTTGTCCTGCCTTTTCCCGTAAGTGCTGTAGCACCTTCCACGTCGGTCCTGGATTAGGTCGGGTTGGGTCACTCTCAGTTATATTGAAGACGAGATCGACAACATTCCATACACGGACAACGTGAGGCCCAGTGGGCTGCGCGCACAAGTGCCATAGAACATACATCAAGCAGTGGAACTGATTGTAGCTCGCGAATAACCAGCGGTACCCACGTAGAAGGTCGTCTGTCTGGAGCTCCATACTTTGCTCCAAGCAGGAACATGCTGATATCAGTGTTTGCTCTGCTGTAGAGGAAACTTCCTCCTGCGATTGTTCATTATTAAGGCCCAGTTGGTAAACGAAAAACTCAAACTTAGAAAGGAGAGAGCGCGTGGACAGCCAGGCAGCCTTCTGGATAGGAATGTTCGTATCGCAATGGCACAGATATGTAGTTTGGAGGTAGCTTGTCAGTTCCTGCACAGTTTGGAGACGCTGGACACTGTCTGTGTGGCCCACAGTACTGTGGTATACCTTTTGGAATGCGATAGCAATTTCCGATGTGAGGAGGAAGAGGCTCATTTCAGTCCATCTCCCGCGTGGCCCCGGTAGGATTCGAAGCTCGGGCGATAGATCACTGTCGTTGACGTGCAGGGGAAGATGAGTATCCGATCGGCCGCCAAAGCCATGTACCGCGAGACCGTGATCCTCGGCAGCCCGATAGTCCAGCACTAGAATCTGCCACCAGAGGCGCCGGCGGACTTCGGCGTCAAAAGGCGAGAGGTTGAAATGTGTCCCGTCACGGTGGAGACCTATGGACTGGGCAGCACGGATGAGGACCCCATTGATGATCCACCCAGATCGACTTGTCCGGTGTGCACGGAGACAAGTCTCGTAACAGAAGTCAGCACGATCGCGCAGTGATGGGAAAGGCGAACCTCACGATGTAGATGGCCAGGGCCTGCAAGGACAACATGGATGGCGTATCCAGACAGGCCGCATCAATCAGAACCTTTTCAATGCGGGCTTGGAAATCCAGTAAGCAGGATCGCCTATCGCGACCAAGGAGATTCGCCGCGTCAACCTCCGACAGGCTGGTCACGGCAGCAAAGTAAATGGCAAACAGCAGAGCCCTACAGTCGTCCGATCCTTCGCCATTCATGGTCGAATATACCAGCGGCTCCACTGTTGGTAGATGAAGGATCTTGACTACGGGGTCCACATTGTTGCGATATATCTGCCATAGCTGTGCGGACTGCCAGCGCGAAAGGTCCAACTCGTTACTCGAATTCGCAGGGTGTCTGGAACTTGCCAGAAGGCCTTCCGGTCGCAAACCTGTGGTGATTTCATCTGTATCATGTGGGGTACCTATAACCTTGTACAGCGCCTTTTCCTTGTCCAGGATTTGTGACAGGAATGTCTCATTGATGTAGCGAGTGGAGGCACCATCCGGAACAAGAAGCTCCTGTGGGCGATTGGGAGACTGCGCTGGTTCGGGCAGTAAGGACGCGGACGTAACTCGGGCATTCGGATTGTCAGAGCCCTGTAGGGGACCAGCACTGTTTGCCAAAACTGCCACACTCCGTTCCAGCTGCGCAATCCGATCGGTGATGGTGACTTTCTGGACCCTCCGAGGCCGATGAGGGTTGGCGTCGGTGGTGGGGTAGCGACACGAAGCGCCGAGCCGCACGCAAGCCGTGCACGGTAGCGTTTTGCTACAGCGGACTTTGCGTTGATGACACTGGGTGCATGATCGCTCCATATTCTTGTGGGTAAAGTATGTAAAAAATGGGAGATACCGCTGGGGGTAACGGAAAGTTGGTGAACGTAGTAGTGATCGTGCTCGGTGGCTCGGGAATGCCAAGGCACCGACGTGCAGGAACACCGGCTTTAGGGTTATCAGATACGAGAAGGATAGATTGACCTGCAGTGTAGCATCATCCAAGGGCACTTTCTGGCTATAAATTACATAATGGGAACTCCTTGATCGATGCCACCCTACGCTGAAATCGAAATCTCATCCTCAATCCCAGTCATGATTCCATTCACGGTGGCAAGATATATTTTCTGTCTCACTAGTAGTCTACAGACTTTACATATGGAATAAAAGAGATATATTGAAGAATCGCCATACTCCTCATGTCCGTCTGACACATTTCACCTGTAAATCTGGATGCGTAACCCAACATTCAGGGTCCTGCGCCCAATTCCCTTCCTCCAGCAACTGCAACTCATAATGCTTCACCAAATACAGGAGGATGGCCCGTATGACCACGTCCGCAGTGTAGCGTCCAATACATTGGCGAGGGCCAAATCCAAACCGCCAGAAGTGGTACCGTAGATCTGTGTTAGAGCTGGTTAGGAACCTCTCCGGTCGATATGTGTCATTATCGGGTGCCCAGAAATCATTTCGCACGTTCAATCCCCATGTATCGACTACATAATTGGTTCCAGCAGGGATGCGATAGCCATCGACCACTCGCTCCGTCGGGGCAGATTGTGGGATGGTAAACGGCAGAGCTGGACGGAGCCGGGAGGACTCTAACACACATGCTGCAAGAAATGTTCCATTACGAGAGATATAACCTTCTTCCTCGGCAGCTGTCAGGGTGGATATTTCTTCGTGCAGCCGTGCTTGGCAGGCCGGGTTGGCAGCCAAGAAGACTAGATTCCAGGAAAGACCGCCGGTTGTCACGTCGAGGTTGGCGTACAGAGTCTCGTCCATCGTTTGTGCTACCTGTTCCTCCGTGAGCATACCCTTATGGACGGCGTCGTACATTTGAACGACCATCGCCGACGGGTGTTTCTCCCGGGCACGCTCGTATGCGGCGCGATTGAACGCCCGCCACTGAGAGCGAAATTGTTGCAACTGACGGTTGGCTTTTGTGGGGAAGAAGCGAGAGAAATTAAACCGGGCGAGGCCACCGAAAAGAACGAATTTCATGAGATTTTCCCGGGCTGGTGCGAGGGCATCGAGTTCGGATTTCATGCCTGGCGTAAGGGAGCCATAGTTTGCCTCCGCCACGATAAAAAACGGAAGCATCTTCAGGTCTTGAACCGGGTGTACCCGGCCTTCGCTGAGATTTCCATTTATCTCGAGATCATGGAAATGAGCTTGAACATGCTCTTGAATTCGACCAATGGATCTGACAGCTGTTGGGTGCATGAAGGGGGGTGCGGCGATCCCCTTCAAGAGCTTCCAGCGCTGACCTGCCATGAGCCCCAAGCACTGCCCTAGGATACGGCTCATGAAGTAGCCAGAATCACTGTTCGTGGCTTTCGTATGTTTGTCTGAATCTTTAAAGATGCCATGAAGTTGGTCGGGTCTTGTCAATACCCTAGCTGTCTGTCAGTCGAATTGTCATTTCGAACCGGATAGCACAAAGGTATACGAACACTTCAGGGGTCATTCCCGCCCAAATGCGGTAGACGTTGCCATATTTCCTTTGCCACTCTTCACTCCTAGTTCTCCCCTGTACGTACTTCTCTACGTCGCCTTGTCCATTTGGCCACACGTAAGATGGCCCTGGAATGGTCCGACCGGTCTCAGTATGCTGAATCGGATTCTTTAACTGCAAATAGATCTATGCCTCAGCCGTATCAGTTGAGCCATCTGTAGAGTAGGCACAGGGTGGTGTTACATACGTTGAAGACCCAAGAGATCACTCTAGAAGTAGCGGTTAAGGATGTGGGGAAGAGCAGTGTTGCGATGCAGAGACTGGCCACAGCGAAGACACCAAAGAGAAACAGGTATAAGATTCCCGGCCCTGTGAACCCATCCAGGAAGTGAAAGCCCAAGTTTGGCATGGTCAACATGGTTGGAGTACAATATAGGACCTCGTTATAGTGATATCTCCCTTACCTCATGAGGTGCAATAGACGCAAGCCGACAATTCGTGGTCCCCTGAGTCTATATAGTAGCATCATATGGATATCCAAATGAATGTAGAGCTGGGATAGGGCATGATTGGGTGGTTATGGATTGTAGTGGTATTGGCGCATATGGCTGCCTAGCCTGAGCAAATCTCCTCTGAAAATAGACTTGCTGACATGACATGACATGACATGACGTGACCCCTAAATAAAGTTACAGAATGCGAGATCCTTAGACACTGAATCCTGGTTGCTAGCTTGCCAAGGGAGTAATGAGATTGGCTCGAACAGTGTCCGAAGGATAGGGCTGAGGACCCACAGCAGGATTTGGCGGAGAACGAATGTTGAGGGTGGCCGAGACGTTGGTGGAGGAAAGGAAAGCAATTCAGGAATACTAGACAGATGAGGCCAGAGTAAAGATGTAATGAGTATATATTCAGGTCAGAAGCCCAAGAAATGGTGTGTAGCGAAGTCCATCACAATCATTCGACCTGATCGTATCTTCTGTTTGATTCTGCTCTCCAACAACCTGTGTTCACAATGTCGACCTTTTCGAACATCTCGTCACTTGGCCTTGAGGCATGCTACCGGCATCATGTTTGCACTACTCCCAATGCTACTGCAGTAGTGGATGGAGACCAATCAATGACATATCGAGAGCTCGACACCCGTATCAATCATCTGGCCTCAATTCTAGCTCGGGAGAACATTGAAAAGGAGGAGCCAATTGGCATTCTCGTGCCGATGGGTATTGCACATGTCGTAGCCCAAGCGGCTGTGCTGCGCTTGGGAGGATCTTGTGTACCCATGGATCTGTCATTCCCCGACCAGCGCATCAATGACCTTCTACGTGCCTTGAAAACGCGCATTGTCCTCACTGTCCAGAGCGAGAAGGCTCGCTTTGCGGAGTTCCAGACCATGCTAGTGGATTCCAGGTACGCCAACGTGCACCAGAATGGATACCATGATGACAGGGTCGCCGCGGTCGACACCGGTCGCGATCATCGGACTCATATCCTGCACACCTCCGGGACAACAGGCCTGCCCAAACCGGTGGAGATCATGTCGAAGGGGATCACGCGAATGGCCTTCAACACGCAATGTGTTGAGTTCAAAAGCACGGATCGAGTCGCTCAAATTTCCGCGCCCAGTTTTGATGCCGCCCTGTTTGAGATATGGACCACTCTTGCTCGAGGAGCCGCTATTGTTCTCCTTCCAAAGAACGTCGTGATTGATCCAGTCGCCCTTCATGACAGCATGCGCAAATACCGCATCACCTCCATTTTGGTCACCACTGCTCTGTTGAACCATGTCGTGTCCGCTATTCCTAATGCGTTTGAGGATCTTGATTATGTGCTCACTGGCGGTGAGGCGGCGAATCCTAGTGTCATGCAAGTGATATTGGAGAATGGTCCACCGAAGAAGCTTGTCCATGCCTACGGTCCAACCGAGTGCACGATTATCACAACGTACCACCTCACCACTTTAGAGGAAGTTCGCCGGGGCCAGACCCCTATCGGGAAGCCATTGGACAATACCACTGTATACATCCTGGATGATAACCTCCAGCCTGTCAAGCCAGGGATTGTCGGTGAACTCTATATCGGTGGCGACGCAGTTGCCCGCGGCTACCTGGGGCGCCCAGAGGCAAATGCGAAGAGCTTCGTAGAAGTATCCCATTTATCGAAGGACGGGTCACACGTTCGCATCTACCGATCCGGGGATCTAGTTCGCATGCTTGACACGGGCGCCATTGAGTTTGTAGCTCGTGCGGATAACATGGTCAAGATCCGTGGATTCCGCATCGAGCCAGCGGAGATCGAGGGGGCACTCCTGAAGAGCGAGATGGTTCAGGGTGCAGTTGTGTTGCCCGTCCATCGTCCGGGAAAAGAGACGTATATTGTGGCCTTTGTAATACCCAAGAATCATGGTAAATTCTCTCTAGAGCAGCTGGACGAGTATCTGCGGCGGCGGCTACCAGCATACATGATGCCCCGGCTGGAGGCTGTCACCTCGCTACCCTTGACTGTCCATGGTAAGATCGACCGTGTGGCGGTCATGAACAAGCACATGGAAGAAACGAAGATGGCCGAACAGCAGGTCCTTATATCCTCCAACACCAAAGATGCCGGAGACAGTATAACCTGGTTACGCACATTGTGGACATCAGTGCTCGGCATTAGCAATATTGACAACGACAGCAATTTCTTTCATCTGGGAGGGAGCTCACTACAGGCCGCGGCGCTGCTGGTCCACGTGCGTCGGCGCTTCGGCCTGACGTTGACCATGCAGCAAATCTACGACTGTCCCACCCTTCTTGGCCTCGCCAGCGTGATTGATGCTGGTCATGCTAGAAGCAAAGTCGACCACTCCCGACTCGGCATCTTCATCGCCGACTCTCAGTTAGCGAAGGACATCCCTGTTCTGTCCAAAGAAGCTCCCGATTGGCGAAGCCCCTCGGAAGGTAGGGTGTTCTTGACCGGAGCAACCGGATTTCTTGGAACGTACCTCCTGCGTGAGTTGATCGACCGCCCGGATGTCAAAAGCGTCCAGTGCCTGGTTCGTGCTTCGGACGTGCATTCCGCCCGGGCACGACTTCTCGGAGCCCTGGACAAATACGGGCTGGGATGGAAGCATAATCTGGACAAGGTTACAGCTATTGCGGGAGATCTGGGCAAGGATCTGTTCGGACTGTCCGAGGCTGAATTCCATGACCTAGCCCTTTGGAGTAGCGTTATCTTTCACATCGGCGCACATGTGAACTACGTCCAGCCGTACGAGAAGCATCGTAACACTAATGTTTATGGAACTTTGAACTGCATCAAGCTTGCGACAACTGGACGCACCAAGGCCCTTCATTATACATCGACGGCTGCCGTCACAGGCCCAGTGTCGCACTTCACAGGCGCAGACAAAATCCTAGAGGACGTCGACCTCGGTGAGTTCCAGGGTTGGCTGCCCTATGATATCGGCTACACACAGAGCAAGTGGGTCTCGGAGCAATTGATTCACTCCATGATCGCAAAGGGATTTCCGGCGATTGTATTCCGGCCGGGCTTTATCATGGGTGACAGTCTTCGCGGCCAGGGGAACTGTGATGACTTCATGTGTCGGGTGTTTATCGGCTCTATCAAGTTGGGGTATCGTCCCATTCTCCCGAACCAAAGCAAGATCATGATTCCTGTTGATTTTATCACGACCGCTCTGCTACATATCACCTCTAACCCCACCAACTTCGGGCGGACTTTCCACCTGGTGCCACAAACGCCCGAGGAAGACACGGACATTGAAACCTCATGGGACATGCTGAAGGACCTAGGGTATGACCTGAAACCTGTGGAGTACAAAGATTGGTTAGAGATCCTCTCGAAGGACAAGGACCTGCTTACCAACCCATTGTTGCCTATGTTACCAGTGCTGCAGGAGCCAGTTCGGAAGCATCTGACGCGATGGGAGCTTTACGAAGATATGGCCACTTACGACGTGACAAATACCAGACAGGCGCTAGCAGATTGTGGGAAGCTAAAATCTGGCATTGGGCTGGACGATCTACGTCGACATGCTGAGGACTGGGTCGCTCGTGGACTGGTGCCTTCAAGGAACTAGTATCCTCCGATAGAGTACATGTTATGATCAACTGTAGTGATAGTTGTCTTTTTCTAGATTAAATATACTCTATTTGGAGAAGAAGAATCGCACATTTAGAGAATGACTCATGTCACAATATCCACTAGCTAGTGAAGGAGAGAGGATTGGGAAGGTAGGTGAAGGCTATCCGGTCATATACGTTCGAAAGCCTCTGCCGTCTAGCGGCCTAGTCCATGGCAGCTTAGATGAGAAAAGGAAGGTCTCCATTACAGTAACAAGTGGGAGTATATATAAACGCCTCAGACTTCAGCGGGGCGTTATCTATTACTGGCGTTGCAATGTTCCTTTGGCTGCCTATCCGTACATTTATGAAACGAAAATGGCACAATACAATGCCATATAAAAGCGACCGCGAGAAATTGTAATGATATTCCTTCCACCTGCCTTCATCAAAAAGGAAAAATAGGGCACTGTGCCATTAAGTTGCGACCTCACAAATGGGAAGTGATTGAAGTACCATCAGCCATCCTTCAGCCACTTGATCTTCGTCACCACAGCGCGGGAGGCCATTTTCCATCAGGCTAGCGGCTGGTCTTCAAAGAAGACTAGACATCTCAATTCCACGCTCTCGCGGGCTTCTTTCACATCCCGTGTTCTTGGGTCCACGAAGGCTGTATGAGGTGTTCTTCTAGCTGTCTGGCCATCCTTTCTCGAATCGTAACATTTGATCAAGAGCACTTCATCAGGCTTCATATCCGACATGTAATACCATTTCTGGCCGGGTGCATACTTGCCATAGAGCATACCGAAACCACGGCCCTTTGTCGCCGCATCATAGTCTTTCTTTTCGTGCTTGCCAGGAACCCGTCCATAGATTTCAAGGAGATCCTCATCATGGAAGGAACGGGCATCCGATACAGCCAACGGGTCCCGGGGAACCACCTTCAGCGGGCGCCATATATTGACGATGGCCCATCGAGTCTTCAACAACCGCTCTGCTTCGAGAGCCGTCACATTGTCCTTAAGGACTTCGAAAGCCCCGGACTCCGACTGATCCACATGGACATGCCGCGCGGGTACCATCACACTTGTCGCTTTCGTATCCGGGTCGGCCGAGTCAGCCATTGCTTCTACCTTTTCGTAGGGAGCAGTGCGAGCGATGTGCGAAAACACGTGCGCACGGGTCGCACCGGTGCTTTACGTGCGACGTGAGTTGGAGTCTTGTGGTCATATAGCCAACGCTGAACATGAAATGGGGAAGTGGCAATGAACAACGACAAGAAGGCCATGCTTACATGTTCTTCAGAATAGTCTCTGCTTCGGGGTACATATGCTTCTTCACGGAAGCTTCATCAAAGGACGCGACATGCTGGCTGACATGCTTGATGAACTGAAAACCATGGATGTCCAGGGCGAACATTCCCTCTTGGCCACGCACATCCTGGATCGACACGGGTCGACTATCAATGGGTCGGCGATATGCACCAACCGTGCCCAGTATCAGCTCCCTTTGCACAGGGCCTTGGGCGGGCCAATAGTTTAAGGAAGTCTGAATTTCCTGATGGGAGCGCATAGCTTCAACGGGCCTGTAAACTCGGGGAAAATAATTTCAGTGTTTAGGATCGACATGCAGTCGACACAATTTCGCGGCCAAAGGCTGTAAAATGGCAGTGATAACAGATGAACCGTCTTGTTCGCACGCTGTCTTTCGTTAATGATACCACTGCGACCCTTTTGAATGATTGCTGCAGTCAAGGGTGCAGACCTCTGACAACCCAAATCAGGGGGAACTTGCAAGCCGATAGTTTGGTCATGCTATTACGACTGATGGCGACCGTGTTCTACACCGAGACACCGAGCTTGTTGCCAGTTGCTTTGTAGATGTAACGTTCAAGGATCAGATGCAGGAATACGAGATGGCCTATCCAACTTCAGGATGATGAGGCACTGATCGTCGCTCCGACGTCGCTGAGCAATTGGCCCAGAGCAAGATATACCTCCGAATGGCCTTATCATTCGTCTCAGAATTCATATTCATGCTTGATCATCGGTGGCGTCAGACGATACTCTCGACTGTGGATTGTGTTGCAAGGGCACGGAGGTATGACGTGCAGGAGGTCGATCATCAGATAAGTCTTCTTGGCGTGGTCCATGGCGTCAATGGCTATTGCTTGTGTAGGGACGGTGATCGGCTCAAACGGATGTCTGTTCGACCACGCCGTCAAGTACGAGGCCCTCTCCACCCCGGAGATGACGTTCTCCATGACAATTCATAGCATGTTCTGTATCAAACAGAGGAATTTGCTTTCTTAACTTGATTGAGCAACATAATAAACGTCCGAGTGTAAGCCCTGTAGTTTCTATATCAAGCTGAACATGTGCTGCATTGATTGTGTATTTTTCAAAGACCATGCGTCGCACTTTCAAAAATCTTCTACCCTGCTCAGGGAAGCAAGATGGCAGTAAGTCTGGGCCTTCGGTTTGTCTCGGCTGTCGGAAGGGCGTGCTTGAACGGAGTCCGAGGTAGTCAGTGGGGACATTGGCGAAGTACTCTCTGAGGTTTGTGCTCCACCCCCGAACCAGAGATGTTCTTCATACATCTGCGCGGGCAGGGGTTCTAGTATCGGAGGCAAAGGTGCACCGAGGGGATAAACACGTATGGCGCTACAGTCACGCTATCTATATATGTTAAGTGTTGACCTGGTGCTGCCCTGCGTTTCCATTTCCCATGGAAAGCTACTCAGCCAATGCCTTAGTCTGACACCTTAACACAAGCACCATTGCAGTTTTGACAAGGCTATTTGATACCTTGGCTAAGCAGTGAACAAGCAGAGGGGAGCGGTTCCTCCCGGAAAGGCTCCGTGAGACATCCCGTTGAAGAGCTGCAGCTTAATACGAGGTGCCACTGAGCCAAGGTCATGATACGAGGGCGGCCTTCCTGTGGCTGTCGAGCTACATTCAATTGGTCCGCTGAAGTCCCTTCGAATTTTCTGCAGCCCGTACTTTTCACCTTCCCATTGTACTTTTTGGCCCTCTCCTGTTGGGGATCTATTGCCATATTGGAGGGAAAAAACGGGACTACCACTCCCTTTATGTTAAGTTTCTTCAGGAGTATCATATTACCTTCAGTAATATTTTCTTACTGAGGCTTGGCAGCCAGTGTTTTCCTTTTAGAAATGTGTAAGAAATCCTTTCTCGGCGCCTGCCGTTAACTGCGCTGCAGCTGCTGATTTGGTGGTGCCTTGATCTATATAATCCCGGATGTCTCCTACAACAGTCACCGAGAAGAGCAGACACGGATCTCTCCTTGTTCACAGCTGTAGCCAACATGGGTGCGCCTCACGAAGAGATATTAGCCCTCAAAAAACGCCGGGAGCAAAACCGAATTGCACAGAGACGTCACCGTATGTGCCAACCGTCGAATTGCTTCCATAACGCCCATCTAACCTCAACCAGGAGATAATGTGAGACGGCGGTTGAGAGATCTGGGCCTCGACACTCCCAGTCCAGTCTCTTCCAGACAAACGTCACCTTACTCATCGAGAGACCGTACAGCCACACTAAATTCTCACCAGAGCCTCAAGTCAACTGACGCATTATCGTTCGAGACCTCGATTTCTGACACAAACATGTCGCCATACGATGCGTCTTTGAAAAGCCTACTACGGCCAGGAGGCCAAAGTCCACTCGCTGAGATCTCATTCCCGACATACTCCTCGTCTGTCTCACCATCATCCTCCGCTGGTCCACTGTCAAGTTCGACGTGTGCCGGTCAGAGGACGTACAATGATTTAACAGAACCTACTTCCTTGCAGTCTTTCTTCAATTCAGCATCGCTCGCGGTGCGCCTGGATGAAAGTAATATGCCGTGCGGTGAGGGTGATAATTCCATTCCGCAGGAGACGAATATCCCTCGAGCTCCAAACCTAGAGACTATGTCTGATACTTCGGCCCATGAAGCCTACACATTGACCTCGTCCACAGTTGGTGAACAAACTAGTTCAGAAGCTCTTCCATTAAGCCAAGTCCCACCACATTGCAGCACGCCATTTCCGCCACGGGGACACCCACGATGGACCACGCCGCTACATATGGCAGTCTCGCAGGGCAACTTTTCGGTGATGCGTCTTCTACTGAGCTATGGAGCGGACCCCAATGCGATCAACAGCGAAGGGGCTACGGCTCTCCATGTTGGAGTGATGAATGGAAATTACACGATGGTGGCCGAGCTGCTCCAGCGGGGGGCCGATCCCACTCTCACCAATGCAGCGGGCTGGCTTCCCCTTCACCACGCCGTCCATACGGGCAATGAAAGTTGTGTACAAGCGCTGCTTGAGGCCGAACAGCTTGTTCATCGTCCCACATCAGCGTTAGATTATTCTTGAATGACCACTGCAGGGCTACCAGTCACATGATACACGCACTCGTCTCCCAGAACTTAGTGGAAACGAATAAAATCGTTTTGTTATGCCTTTTCCCTCTTGTTTGCCTTTCCTTTACCTCTTGCTGATGACGAATACTCTCCAAAGCCAGCCCACTGAGGGGGATTCCAACCCATGTTCAGTACTCCAACTCCATGCTTGGCCCAGGTTAAATATATCCCTAGTGTCACAACGGACTGATTTTATTTGATTGCTGTCCCCCAGAAGACCCATTGGCTTAGTCTCGGGTCTAGAACATTATGCTTCCCCAACTTAGGTCCTTGCAGGATTCCTTTTGTACCGCCAAGGCTCGGTGGTTGAAGTCCCTCCGAGGCGCCGACTATCTTATCTGATATACGCCACACTTAGCTTAGGCAGCGACAGTTTCTCTGCTAAAACCCCACTATTAGCAGCAAATACATTGGTTCGGGTGATGTAGGCCCCACTAGATATTGTCGTATCAGTCCTTTACCTGCCCCTTAGGTAGTTGTTACTTGGCATTTACATACCAGAAGCTCCCACGGCAACGCCGCAGAAGATCGGCAAGGATTCCCGTTCAATTCATCCGACTTAAAGTAGTTTCATCTGGACTATACCTTAGGACGATCAAAGGCCCAACACATCTATCTATTAAGATATTGTAGCTGATATTCTGTACACCTCTATCACAATTTTGTGGCAGCCCGCCATTCGCATCTCGCATTGCGTCCGTCCGTCGTTAGATCTGTCCGATGCTGCCGAGATCCGCAAAATATATAGCAGAGGAGCACCAAATGATTATCGTTTTTGTTTAACAATAACGAAAAATGAGGTATTAGAAAATCATGCACCGTCAACTACGTAATATAATGTCTTCAACCACATATTGCAGCCCTACCTGCTTAAGATATCATGTCTCTGACGTCTCGTAGCAAATGCAACATGGCACAGAAACCCACAAACTTCTTCTCTCTTTCAGATTGTCTCACGGTTTTGTCGATGGTAATTGTTGAATGTCATCTAGTGGGAGGACAACTTGAAGGGCATCTTTCCTCTGCGCCCAACATATTGGTCTATGATTCTGTTTATGACAAATAATCATTGAGCCCCATGCGACGAACCTTGACTCTACATAATTCAAGAGAGCCATTGATCGACCTGAGAAATGATACACTGGAATGATTCGCCATGTCTAAGAAACACTGACTGAGATTTTCCAAATCATGAGCACCACCGTGGTATTACCGACTATTGCGGGGATTTGGAAAAGGAAATACGGGCCGCTGGATTTGAATAACAGTGTGCTTAAGTGAAAAGTAAAACGATATCCCGTGCGCGTTCTAAATACTCTGAGAGGTGACCATTGCTCGGGCAGCTAGTGCCTGGTATCTGATTTTATGGGCATGCAAGAGCTCAGGTACATAAAAGAGCCATCTGCGGATATATTCTAGCAGCAAGCAATTCGCCACCAAATCCGACTCTTTCTTTGCTTTGCCTGTCGCATGACCCTGCTCTTTCTCTGACGGTCATCCTCGGCTGGCATCCTGGAGGAGCTATCCTCTGCTGTGTGGCTATGGGTGTCCCTGCTCACACAGGCCTTTGCGTCTACTATCTCACACGGACAAATGAACCCGAGTCTCCGCGTCACATTGAGCGGCGTCCTTTCCAAAATGTCGCGTGCAGAATTGGTTGCGGGCCACGAAATCTCGGCCTGGACATTAATCAGCCTTTCCAACTCCCCGAGTGGCTCCAAGATGTGGTGCTCCTGCTCTGATGTCATGTCCTTGCGTCTGTTGTAGCTATATTCGTTGTTTATCCATAGGTACAGGTCCTGAAGCCCTTTGATACTTTGGAGAGTAGCGCACATATCCACCCATCGCGTGAACCACAGGGGATGCTGAAAGTCATCAAAAGTTGTTACATGATTGGCTATGTGGTAGCAAAGCTCGATCGATCTTATGGCATGATACTGAACAGATGATAACATTCCCCGCAACTCAGTCAAAATAAGAAGGTCGTCTTTATGATGTGCTATGATGTTGATGGTGTTGATAGATGCAAGGAGGGTGATTGCCTCGGCATAGCTGGCACGTGTATATCGGCGTTAGGGACAATAATGAATAATGTTTACAAAGGAAAATTGACCACATTTGTGTCACAGTCCTAAGGCCTGACTCACATCTGCCGGCATACCACAAGAAGATTGGACTTTTTCCACGGTGGCAGTCGATCCCTACGTCTTGACCCGCTCGGCACATGTACCGTACACGCATAACATTGGAAATTGTCACCGTTACTGCACCGCTCCGGGGTGTTGCACTTTCTGTCCGGACAAGAGCAACGGATCTGGCTGGACACGTCATGCCGTATCAAGTGAATGGTCTTCTTACTGAAAGCAAGCTCATAGATTCTTCGACGTATCTCGATGGGCAGTTTTGCTAATAGCAGGCTCTGTGGCTGATCTTTGGTTTTTTCAATCTCACTTGTCTCAGTAGGTTGGGACGGTAGTGATTTCTCGGCTGTCCTATTGTCCAGTGATGTGTGGGGGACTGAATAAACGGAGCAGCTCTTAGAGAGCGATTTAATAAAAGCGATTCGCATTTTACGAGTGACGGCCCATGGTGGACAGAAGGACAATTTCCATTCTTCATATTCATTGAGGGGACTTACGGTTTATGATTCGGCTTGATGGGGGCTGTGTGAGGTGGCTATGTTGCCTCGCGTCGTCCTGATCTTCCTAGCCTTCCCTTATAATTAATATTTTATAGCAACGGACTTAGCCACGCTGAACCGTCCAGTATATATAGAGTTCAAACGTTCTTAATACCAATCGAGTGCACTATTCTTTAGGGTGTCCTCTTTTCTAGCTGTCACCAATTCACACGAACGAGGTATAGTCGAACAAATTACGAGGTATGAGGATCAAGAGTCGCCCGAGTAAAGCAGCACGAAAAGTCTAATCATGATCCCATTGCTATATGATGTATACTGTGCCATGGCAGCAGCTCCGACTGTAACATCCCTATCATGGAAGGGCCATACTGTACCATCCATCACGAGCCGCGTACATGACATAGGAAACGAGTAAGGACCTGGTCGCCGACCCGTACTTTTCTGAACGACCGAGAAGTTGTCAGACGTCTAATGTAGTTGGCCAAGGAGCCCTTCAATCAGATTGGAATGGACCAGAGATCATCATAGGAGCTAAGTAGCTCCGACATTATTGAAACGAAGTCTTCAAAGTCTCACCTTCGTGAACTACCCTTTCAACAAGATCCTTATCCACCACAAGGCATCAAAATGGTAGCGCTCACGGTACTAGTATACATGGGTGCAAGCCGATTTAGGGATCTGGCCCTCCCACTGCACTCTGGCCGACGTATAAAGAGCATCATCGGTCAACATATCCCAGCCCAGAAGGGCCAGCCCCTTCCCAGTCAACACGGCTGCGTCGTGTGCTTCATCAGTCCCAGCACAAGCAGTAAAGTCCGGGTGGTGTGGAAAGCTCCCATTAGATGTTGAGATTGCGAACATAGCATGAAGTGTTGGGACTACGTAGCTCACATTGCCTCGAAGGATATCAGTGACATGGCTTCAAAGAATTAGAATAGTAGAGTCACGAAACTCACCAACATCGGAGGAACCGGTCAGCACCTGTTCGAGTTTCTGGACGAACTCTTTCCCGTAAGCTGCCATGTGCCCTGTAAACCGTTGACACAGAGTTTCGTTTAGTATGATATCGGTATATAGGCCGTCCCTAGAGAATGTGGCTCCAATATTACCAGCAGCTCATAAAGAAGATGCTTTGTTTGGTAACTCACTCTTCGATTTTGGCTGTACAGCCAGTGATAAGAGCCGCCCCCTCAATACATTGCCTGACTTTCGCAATGAGTTTATTGAGTCCCTGTAATGTGGGGCTCCGGACCTGCCAGTAAGACTTGGTGTAAGCCGGGATCACATTTGCAACCTTTGGGACATCGATGAAGGCGCCATGGATTCGCTCCTCCGGCAAAATCTGCTGTCTTAGGGTCGATATCCCATTGTATGCCTGAACCAGGGCATCCAGTGCATTCACACCGTCCCATGGATTGCCTCCGGCGTGAGCGTTCTTGCCGAAATATTCCACATGAAGCTCTTTCCGAGCGTTCATCAAGACACCAGCAACTCCATCGCCAGTGGGGCCACCTAAATTCTCTGGTCCACCGTGACTAGAGAGAGGAACGTTAGAACATCAACCCATTCATTCAACCCATTCTTGAAGCCAGGACACAACAACTAGGATCTTGTACTCACGCCATCAGAGAGATATCCACCCCCTTAAAAGCGCCAGCATCAATCAGTTTCGCCTTGCCTCCACCATTTTCCTCCGCTGGAGTACCGAGAAGTTGGATTCTGCCTTTGATACCATATTTTTTCCGAAGCTGGCTTAACGCCAAGAAGGCTGCGATGCTACTAGTGGCGATAAGGTTATGGCCACAGGCATGACCGATATCAGGCAACGCATCGTACTCAGCGTTTAGGTTGATAAGTCGTCCTTCAGTACCACTGATGCATTCGAAGGACGTATCGAGTCCATAGGCGTTTCGGGTGACTGTGAATCCCTGGCTTTCAAGGAAGTCACAGATCGCATCATGTGCCTTGTGCTCTTCGTAAGCCAGTTCTGGATTTGACCATATCTATCAGGATGTACAATGTTAGCCAGATGAACTTTTTACAACTTGCTACTTTGGCATGAAACGAAGAATATTTGTACGTAGTGGTTTAGCGCATGGAGTCGCTTTGAGACGTCCTCAAGGACGCTGTCGATAACAGACCGGACCTCTTCATTAGAGAATGAGGTTCCAGGAATGATAGTCATTTTTCTTTTTTTTTTTTTTTTTTTTGGGATCACAGATTTTGCGGCCGTAGCAGTAGAATAATAAAAGAATGCTTGTTGAATATGATATGACAGGGTTTTGTGAAATGCGTCCCGATGGAGATGAGCATATGGATTGAGCGTTAACGTGGTCTATTTATACTTCTTCGTCATTCCAAAAGTGCAACGCATTCAGACTCGGCTCCCTGTATACAATTCTGCATAATTCAATGATCGAGGCATAAATCTGGAATATCTGTCCGAATTCTGTAGCAGAATTGCTACAGTCTAATCAGGGTCGACACTTTTGTTTGGTATGTCTTCTAGCACTCGGACTTGTGAGCTTTCCCACCAGTCTGCGGCATGGGATAACATTAACCAATAGAGGACAGAAAATAAGACCTCTAACTGATCAATGGCATAGAAGAGTGTAAGTACAGCACATCAATGGTGTATTCAAGGACCAATGGGAGACCGTGGATGAGACGTGAGTTCGCGAAATGTATCCACCACCACTAGATGGAAAAATAATGCAATCAATAGAGGATTTGTGAACAAGTTGTGCTTATCAGAAGATGCAGGTCTTAGCCAATCAGACCCTCCAAATTTGCCGACTTCTCTGATCCAGGTCCGAGCACCAAGATTGAGACCAATCGATAGATTGCATTTTGCCGACGTTAGATCTGTGGCTCAAGAACTTTTGTTTCCAGTGGCTCCCCAGGTGCTCCGCGGGAATATACACATTCGATAGGAAAACCCTTCAAGATATCGAGGGAGCGTTATGTGTATCTATAGGATCTATAGGATATACCCTGATTGCCACTATCTGCAACGCTAATTCGCGAGTGCCGCAGATATCAAAGAGGACTGGGAGTTGTATTGTTATCTCAAAGATAGGTTGTATGATGGCGATACGGGTGTTGATGGACTACTTAACTTTGAGAGGACTTTAGACGTGAACCATTATTTCTGAGGATCTGGATATAATTTGATTGAGTGCTCTACCTCTCGCTCTTCTTTCCCAAAAACATAAAAGTATTATCAAACATTACAGCACTTATCTTTGGTTTTGAGCTCTGCTGTCAAGATGAATGCTGAGAAAGAACCACACAACGACGATGAGAAGGCCGTCCACGCCACACAGGAGACAGAACAGGATTTGAGTACTGGAGAATGTACTGTCTTCCAAATGTCCCCCGAAGCAGAGCGTCGGCTGCTCTGGAAGCTAGATATCTTGTAAGTGATGAATGGTTATGAATCACTTCCAGGTCCGAAGCTTCACATTCTGAGACAAATCAGTATGATTCCAACAATGGGTATTTGCTACATGCTGCAATATATGGATAAACTCGCACTTAGTCAGGCAACTCTTTTGAATTTGCGACAAGATCTTGTCAGTATGCTGAGCATAATATTCAGCTCTCCTTGTTAACAGCCTGCCAGGGTCTTGTTGGCAACGAATATACTTGGTGCTCTGTCGTCTTCTACTTCGGTTACCTCGCAGGGAGTGTGCCTACATCCTACTTAATGGTGCGCCTCCCTCTAGGAAAATACGTGTCAACATCGGTGTGAGTCCAATGAACCATTGAGGCGGTCGCAGAACTGACCTACGTCCAGATTCCTGTGGGGTGGTATCCTCATGTGCCATGCAGCCTGCCAGAATTACGGAGGATTGGTTACTGCTAGATTTTTTCTTGGTGTTGGTGAGGCTGCAGTTGCTCCAGGCTTTGGTCTCATCACAGGAATGTTTTACAAGAGAGAAGAGCAGCCCGCACGGTAATGGTTCACCGCTCAGACCACTCAAGAGTAGAGAATATGGCTCACTGATCTGACACTCTGTTTCTGTAGGCAGGCAGCGTGGTTCATCGGTAACTGTATCGCGAACATCATCGGCGGTGTCGTGGCATGGGGAATTGGAAATTCAGCATCAGGACTGCAAAGCTGGCGCCTTTTGTTTCTCGTGCTTGGAGGCATCACCTCGGGTTATGCCCTCATCCTCTGCCTCCTTCTCCCTGACTCCCCCGCCAAAGCATCTTTCCTCTCAGAGTCCGAACGAACGATTGCAGTACAGCGAACGCTCCAGAACAAGACGGGTTCTACAGCGGTGACGGAAGAATTCCTTTGGGATCAAGTGATCGACGCTATACGGGACCCGCAGGCCTGGCTCCTCATTCTGTACACCTTCTGCGTGAATCTGGCTAATGGTGGACTTACAAGCGTGCGTTGATCCAGTGCCAGGAGACCTCAAACCTCATGGCTGACAGAACTCTAGTTCTCCACCATTATCATTGCAGGATTTGGCTACTCGAATTTTGAGTCCCTGTTGCTGCAGATGCCAATGGGGCTTTGTCAACTTATATTCCTGATACTGACCGCACTCATGGCAACCTACATCCAATCGTCGCGTATAATGTCCATGATTTTGAACGTAATAGTTGCCGTCATTGGGGTCGTTTTAATTTACACGCTCGATGAATCCCACAAGGTTGTCAAACTGGTCGGCCTGTGCTTTGTTGCTACGTTCGCTGCTAATATCCCACTGAGTCTGAGTATCATCACCTCGAATGTTGCGGGAACGACCAAGCGGAGCATGCTCAGTGTTGGTCTTTTCGCCGCTTACTGCGTGGGCAATATTGTGGGGCCACAATTCTTTTACGCTTCGCAGGAGCCAGTTTACTCGGTATGTGCTCTAGCTGTCTCAGATTATGTTGTGCTTTCACTCATGAATTTATGATAACAGAGCGGCATCGAAGCGACTTTATGCGGGCTGGCTCTTGGAGTATTCTTCCTAGGCTGTTTATTCCTCTACTATATCTGGGAGAACAAGAGACGGGATCGGCAACAGGGAGTGATGAACGAAGGGCTTGATGTTCATGATCTCCTCAAGCAGCAGAACAGCAAAACTGATAGGCAGATACCTGGGTTTCGCTACACCGTGTAATATCTTTGTTGACCAGTAAGATGAAAGTATATCTTTGATCCCTCTGGTTTCCCCATTCAGAATTGTCCATACCCTAGTACCTGGGGGATGCAGTCAAGAGTTCGGGACCAAAATCTAGGACCCGCCTCCAACCCGGCTCCATGGTGGGCTCTTTATATGATAACCCGCACCGGCTCTAAACCCACGCTGATTTAGTACAGTAAGGTGTTGTGGGATCGTTTGGTAGAGTAAGGACGTGTTTGCCAAGCAGTTGTGCCACTGATAATTCTACCGATTTCTATAAAATAGGTATTTAAAAGGTGATTCAAACTATCTGAGAAGCTCTCAATATATAGATCGTTGGTTTTATAAAACTTCGTAGAGCCCTGTTAGCTCTAATCAGCACCTCAAAGCGTTGAGGTATCTGTTAATATAAGTGTTTAATCTACTCACGACAAATATTATCCTAGAACTATCAATTTTCGGCGGCTTCCACAGTATATAAATTCGATAGACCTATTTGATAGACAAGAAAGTATAACTCAGGCTCCTTTCAGTATGTACTACATCTAGGAAGGGGCACAACTCCCTTCCTTATCTTACAAGGATGTGAGGGATGGATGCATCCCATAGTCACCCACAGTGGCTTCTGCTGATTGAAAGGTCTACTGGCTTTCTACGGACCAGAGCAATAGAGGATTGCGCTATGGGAAATACTATGCCTAAGGCATGGCATTATCCAAGGACTTTGAGGAATATAAGGCGCGCGGTTTATATCACTTCCAGGAGCTCCTGGATTCGTCACAGGCACAATACGCCATGGTTACAAGTCTGGCCAAATGAGAGACCGTAATCTGTGGGGTTCGGATCGCCATGGTCGAGGTAAGAATGAAATATCAGTAAATGCAATTTTGATGAGTTGGTAATAATTATAGTTAGGCCGTAAAGCAAGAATATGCAGTCCTCCCATGTGCGTCTCAACTTGGCCGCGCTCTCGCTTGCACAAAGTTTGGAACCCCCGGTCATTGATCCGTATGTTTTGACAGCCACACCGGTATTGGATCTAACGACTGACCCATACCATATAGAGTCCATGGAGAATAAGGCAGTCCAATTTTTCAGCGCTGTTCTAGTCTGGAATGATATTCTCTACTGCTCTACACGATAATCACTGCCCACAATAGCAGAAGCCTATCGGAAGCTCCTCGAGAATGAAAGTTTTTCGCCCTTATTATTATTTGATAGCGTGGGATGCGAGGGGTGGGTATTGCTCCCTATTCTCGAAGCATTGCTACTTTCCCGGTGGAAGCGGGATCGGGAAGCTCAAGGCAAGTTGAGTATCCGGAAGCTCATTACCAAAGTTGACGGTATTGTATCGCCTCTCTCCAAGCCCAGCCAGCTTGAGTTCCTCGTTTGACTTTCGTACACGCGTCACCCAAGCCAATATTTCATCTTGCTGGGTCTCTGGGAGGCCCTCCTCGCGAACCACACGCGTAAACTTCTCCTCCGCCACATACTGCACCTCGTAGTGACCCTCCAGTATCGTAGATTCAGGTGTGATGGATCCGTGCTTCTTCAACAGAAACCCGGCTAACTGGACCGCCTTCAGAGTGGATTCTTGGTCCAACCCTGAATTGCACATTGTGCTCCCGGAGCGCGAGGCGTCCGATACTGGTAGAACAACGCCTGCGCCTCCGCGGCCAAGATATGTGCGTTCTAACTATCTAGCGAAGGTTTATATGAACACTCACACAAATATACACAGGGAATGTCTGCATCCCGCAAGGCCCGAAAGAGGTGATATACGGTCAGGCGATTCTGGAAGTACCAGAGACTATGACAAAGCACTGCTGCATCGAAGACTTCGCTGGCTGGACAATCTAACCCGTGGACAAATGATGGGGCGTCTGTGCGAAGAAATGTGAGCGATGATCCGAGAGTAGATCGCTTCGTGTACTCCTGCGACTGTTGCACTGCGAAGGGTGTGCCGTATTCGGGTTGGACGGGGTCGATGCCGGTTATGCGGCCATTGGGCCCGACGAGGTGTGCCAGAATGAGGGATGATCCACCTTGGCCGCAACCAGTATCAAGGATTCTCTCGCCACTAGATATGCCCCATGCTTCGGCCATGCGGAGACGATGGATGAAGCGAGGTATAAAGATTTGCGTTTTGAGGGCAGAGGTAGGGTCATGGAGAAAGCTGGAGAGGATGGTTTCCATAATTAGATAGTCAGATGTGAACCTATAATATATTAGAGGACTGCAAATTCAGCCGTACCAGCGTATTTCGCGCAGAACGATGGGATGGCGCCTATTTACACCGACTGGCGCGTTGGTTTGCGATTCGGCGCCCGTGCGACCCAGGAATCTACCACTGATGCTCGGGCGATAATGTTATAGAGACGTAGAGTGTGCCTAACTGAGCCTTTGTTTATTTCTCCTCCCCGATTTCTTTTGTATGATATCTTATTTCTTTAGTAGCTTGGCCGTGGGGAAGCTCTAAGTCTCTTTCAGCTGTTGAGACGTCATTTCTGTTATGTTGAAAACCCAGCAACTGTAAACCAACTCTCCGGATAGATAAGTACATTAGTTAAGGGAGTAATATCTGTTGGCCGGAGTTCGGTTGAAGGCACGACCAATTGCCTAAGGTACTTTGCCCGAGTGGCAGCACGCTCAATAATATCCAATAGTATTGTGATCGCAGCGACGCTGAGGTAACGGTACTACAGAGCTACGTGAGGGAGCCTTTCACTTTAGCTACGGCCCTAGTGACTGCACCACGGGCTCAACCCTACGGTGCTTAACTACCCTGTGTATATAAAGGACGTAGCGACCCCTACCTTTAGTAGGAGGTCGGCAACTCTCTACCTCTCATAGCATACCGCTACTTGCAATCTCATTATGGTCATAGAGTTATCCCCGACTTTATGTCTCAAGCCCACTCCCTTGCCCAATAGAGTCGAATAGTACTGCTAAGTTAGTATGCCAAGCGCTTTTCCCTATGGAGAGTATTCCGAGTTTGTGGTGCAGCAGATCTGCGCCGAGGTGGGGAGAATGGATCGTGGCGGAAGCCATGCAGCGAGTACTATACGTTATATTATCTGTCCGATGGTGTCTTATCATCTCAAGAGGGCTTGCCTACCCTCACTGGCACTGAATTACAAGGATTGCCAGCGCCGGCGAATCTATCTTTATGGCAAGCGAGAGTTCGATATGACTGGGAAAGAAAATACGATATATACATGGCCCAGTGCGTGGAGGGAGGTCTAACTATAGATAGGCTTTGGCCCATGCCTACTATTCGCAAGGAGATATAAATCGTAAGCAGGCGAGCCAGGATGGACCATTGGTCAGAGAATATTGATTAGTTTTGGAGCAGCATCTAAGTATCCAGAATATGAACTATTGCGGAGTTTCCCACCAGCGGCAACTCTACACGTTTTGGACCTTACCGGCTAATGGGATATCTAGCTAGGTGCCATTTATATTTAGGATATCAATAGTAGTTGTAGAGCCCTGCGTATTGTCTCAGTATACCTTCTTTTTTCCGGCGTAAAGATTTGCTTTGGTAGGTTATATATAATAGACTTGAATATTTAGTGCTTGTTATATTATTTCACTATCTCTTGGTAATAGTAGACTGTAGTAGAGTAGTCATTATATATTTAACTAATATATATCTATAGTAATAAGCACTTTTAGGAGTCTAGGCTCTATAATATTGTGGCAACTTGAGATTTTTTCGGTGTATTTAGATATATTCCCCCTGCTAGAATCTTCTTTTATGGCTGACTGTAGCTCCTTAAATGCTGTTTGTAAGATAGTATTAGGTACCTAGCTAATCTAGATAGCTTCTAGTTGCGTCTGGGTAATTACTAGAGGCTATATCTCGATGCGAGAGGTTTACTACCAAGAGCAACGGGAACATATACCAGGGTTCACCAAAAACAATATCTTAAAAATACGTTTCCCCTAGCAAGGCGCCTTTGAGCCTGTAGTGTTTCCTAAGCACTAGAATTTAACCTCTCAAGAAAAGAACTGCGATGGATGCTTTTCAAGTTTTTTTCACTTAATAGCTACACTAAGGAACAGGCTATTCGACAGGACTGTTGGCCACTATATAGAAAATGTCCACCGAAATCAACATAGGTTACTCCCCTTATACTTCCCCGAAAGGAAAGTGGCGCAGCATCTATGGATCTGCTATAGAAACAAACGCCACTGCATTACCATTTCGGCGATATGCCAGATTCGTTATTCTCGGCAATGGCAGGGGTTAGGTTGGTCGGTTTATTATACGAATTCTCCGTGAATGTGTTTTCGGTACCTTCAAGCACAAGAGTGGGCTCGGCATCCTCGCTCAGCATGTATTCTTCCTTGTCGATATGGCGGAACATGAAGTAGAAGACCACGGTGAGAACGCCACCGACAATGGAGGGACCGCCGAATACCCAGGTGAGATATGGATCCTTGACAACGGCGGAGCACGCCAACCCTATCGCATAGGCAACGGCGGTGTTGAGTAGGTTGATGGCCGAGACCAAGCCACGCATATTCTTGGGGGCGCGTGAGTAGGCGATACCGTAGGCTGGGACATTGACAAAGAGTTCCGAAATACCACCGAGTGCATAGGGTATGGCCATAAACTGATATTCTCGTTAGCGGTCAATTATTCTGTATCGTTTCGATTGAATCAAGGAGTCTATGGAAACATCAAGTACATACCCATATGCTGATCGGAGCCACCAAAGAAACGCCGTTGGCATCCACGCACGTGTCAGAAGAACCGTACTTGCCACAGGGTCCGAGCTTGTAGGCGTAGTAGTTGAGAACAGTGTAGCCTACGCCACCAATGGAAGACAGGGCAAGTCCTGTGGTGATCCGTGCCACAGGGCCATATCGAATATGGAGACGGCGCAGCAAGGGGTACAACATGTAGTTGAGGATGGGAGCAAAGCAGATGATACTCAGCGCGTTGAAATTGCTGATGACATCGTTAGGCACGCCGTTCGTCGTCAACATAGTCGACAAAAAGCTTGCAGCGTTACCCAATCCGTTGTCATTGATATACTGGATGGGGAAAAAGCAAAAGATCCCCGTCGCCTGGAATGTGCGGCGGACATCCTCCACGAATTGGTCGTTCCAATGAGTCCTGATATTCTGGCCCTTTCCTGCGATTACTGACGGCTTGGCCGCGTCCCAGAATCCATGGCGTCCAATGCGAAAAACACCGCCACGACGGAGGCAGATGCCCAATACTCGGACGACATTGAGCAGGTCACTGCCGCCAGGAGGGTGTAGAACGAGACGTTTCCGTAGCCAGAGCTAGCACGTAATTAGCCATGGTAGCAGGTCAGTTATCCAATGTTCGACTGGGGACATACCAAAAGGACAGGCAGCGGAAGATACAGAAACAGCGGCAAGATAAAAGCCAACCACCACCCGACGTACTTCTCAGCATAGGAGGTGGCCACTTGCATAAAGCCGCCAATATTGATAAGCAGATAGAACCACAGCATGGCACGCTCGGTCGTGACCTCGGGGTCAACGATAACCTTCTCGCCATTGGGCAGCAGCTTCGTCTTCGCCTTGGTAGTGGGCATCTGATCCAGCAGAAGGGGAGAGACGTTGGGCTTAAACATGGCTGGGATCATTAACACTGAGCATCACCGTCGCCAACGAAGTAGAACATACCGGCACCGACCGACAACATATACAACGAAATGAAGAAGGGCGCTTTAGCACCTCCATTCGCCAGTAGAGTTGGTGCGGTCGCCCCAACCATCAGGACATGAGCGACACCAAAAACAAAGACACCCCAGAAGATCATCTTGAAGCGGCCCGTATGCGCATCAGACAGGTAGCCGAACACCATTGGAAGGGCATACGCCAGCATGCTGAACGACTGGTTGACGGCGTTTGCCTTGACAGTGCCCATGCCCAAGGCGCCGGCCGTCTGCTGCGTACCCCGCGGAGGTGCACCGTAGCCATTGCCGCCCACCGGGAGTGGACGATTGATGAAGTTGGAGATCAGGCCCGAAACACCCAAATACGAAGCTCGCTCAGAGAACTCGACCGCACAGATGAGATAGGCTACCAGTGGGAGCTTGCCCGGCACACGTCGCAGAGTCGCCAGCTCTTCTTCGGTGGGCTCGTTCTCATCGTACTCGCCAGCCGAAGGCAACGTTTCCTCTATAGCGGGAATGTTGGCCTTCTCGTCATATGGCCCTTGGGAAGCTGCATGTGGGTGTTATCAGTCTGGTCACGAGAAAGTATTCCAATCGCTGTCGTCAAGATTGAAAGCCAGGACTTACCCATCGTGTAAATCTGCCTCTACCGTAGCAACGTACAACATACAGACGAACCAAAGAACGAAAGAAAGAGGGACACACACACACAGAGAGAGAGAGAGAGAGAGAGAAAGAAGAGAACGCGACCGAGTTGGGAACGGATCAGCGGTCCCCCTGGGCCTCTTTTAAAATCCCCCATTTTCCCTGTCGACTGCCCTTGTTGCCCCGGATGTAACTCCGAATAGATTACCCAAAGCGGGGAGGGCATCTCACGTCCAATTACAGGCAGGCGAAATGAGGCCAACCTGTTGACTTCATTAAACAAAGATAGCGAAGAGCCTATCACACCACGAGGAGGACAGATAAGCTTGCCATTCATAGCTAAGCACTACGACTAAGATAGTTTAGGGCTTGGCACTAAGTTATGGCGTCATGCCTTGGGTGGGTTCCTTAACTTCCTCCCACAATCCGTGCGAGATAACGCATATTGCCGTGTGGGACCCGATGTAACCCTACCCACAGCAGTTCCTGAGCTTCAACAACTCAATCTCCAAGGCTAAATAGTTGTATCCGAGGTTGATAGGGGGAGACCCTTAGCTGTCCAAAAGGTGTTTCAAGCCAAGGGAGAAGAGGCACGCGCTAGTTTAGTGGTATTGTGTGTGTGTGTGTGTGTGTGTGTGTGTGTGTGTGTGTGTGTTCTATGTATCAGTCAATTCCAGACATCTTGTTTCTCACGCTGCTATATATATATCCTGGCTTGGTTGACAAGCTTTCAACCCTGCATAATAGTAGATCCTCCGGTTCATAGCGAGTTTATGTGTCATTGGTCAAGTAATAGACTGACTGACCCCACAGCTACGTTGTCAAGCTTGACATCAACTCACGACAGAGACAACTAGAGAATTGGCGGCCAGTTTTCCCACATCCCCTTCCCCGTTTATACGGGGACCAATTAGAAACTCCGACATTGACTCCGCCACTTTTTGACTCCACCCCACATTTAAGGTTTCGGACGTCACGAGAGGCCAGAGACATCGATTTCGCTCCGTCATCACCACACAGGCTCACCAGCAGATGCATAGCTCCCTCTCTCTCCAGCGTCGTCGGGTGTGGACTCCCATCTGCTCTGGTATCTCCACTGAGTCAACAGCATGTACAAACGAAGTGTTTTCACCAACATCACTCCGCTCCCATCGTATATCACACGGGACACGGTAGTGGAAGCCCTCCATAATCATGCGGAAATGATTGAACTAAACCCTTTGGTGATCCACCATGAGCCCTGTCGCCCGCCATCCTTTGCGCCTGCGGATGAGTTTCATTGTATTTGGTACGAGATGACCGACCGAATCTCGTATCTACCGGGCGGGCTAGTCAAGGGCAACGTGTCCTATGCAGGGTGCTTCTACGATCTCCCGCGGGGCCTCCAGACCCATGTTTATGCCCCAACCGGCTTGGACATCCGAGAGAAATGGTCCGTCTGTGGAAATATGCCCGGCGAGCCGCGAGAGCCTGTCGAACTGGGCATTCCCGATGCACCCCGAGAAGGGTTGTACCTGCGCGAAGATGTCAACATGCGGTCGCAGATTTGGGCCACGGCGTTTGTGAAACGGACCCTCAAACGGGCCCACGCGGTCCTCGTGGACCGGTTGGTTATCAAGGCGGATCTGGAAAAGCAAAAGAGGGATTCAATATCAGCATGCGCAACTGACTCGTTCTTGGGAAAACCGACAGGCCTACCCCACGATCAAAAGCCAATTGATCGTGAAGAAGATTCAATGTCGCCGCACCAGGCTCGCTGGTCAAGGGCCAGCGACATAGCTGAAGTCCCTGGATCGCTGGAGACGGGACAGAAATCCAATCAGCGACCGGGTCAATCCGTGTATGAACTCGAATAGGGATAACTACAGGCTTGCAGAATGACTCCTCCGTGTCAGTGCATGCATCTATAGTGCACTGGGTAGGGTACTGTAGGGTTATCGCTGGAGTCCTATTATTGCTATGGAATAGCGTAAATTGTTATTAGAATATTCAAGCGTCGATGTTCATATGTTCGTACGACGAGAGGGTCAGGAATGGGCCGCGATTTGTACAGCTTACCTGGATGTAGTCTTTTAACTAGTAATGCATGGTGAATCAATGAGTTTCTCTTCCACCCGATGTACCAGCCATGGTGATCTGCGCACGCCTGCAATATTGGTCTTCCCATGTCCTTTTCGGTCCCCAATAATCACAGACTTGGATTTGATAAGACCATAGACTGGCCCAAGGTGGTTGATAGAGATTCACTAGCCGATAACAGACATAGAGACAACGATAAAGGAAGATAATGGCAGGTGGAGTGCAGTGTGTTTCAAAAAACAGAGCCACGCACTCTTGGTGTTCATAATGAAATCGTAATCGTCGTCGAGGGTGTGTGAGATTGAGTGTGATCCCGTCAACCGGTCACAAATACCTGCTATGTTGGTTATGCCATCTATAAATGCAAGCTGCGCTTTTGTCACGTCAAGGAACCCTTCAACAGAATTTTGATCGCTGACGTCAATTCGCTGACGAACCACATGGGCTTGCAGAGTGAAATCCAGAGATCCGTAGAGTTGCTACAGCGTCTTCGAGTTGATGTCGCTATAGACGTCGGCAGACCCCATTCATACCTTAAACCCCCATGGCTTGAATAATGGGTTCAGACCTTGGACCCAGAATGCGTTCTGCTGAGCTCTAGTCGGTGATGCCTAGCGATGCCCCGCGAGGAGGGAGGAGCTTCGCGGTAACTTAGCCCATTCCTGACGCAGCACAGGTCCCTGCAAAGGCCTTATTGGCCAGGGGAGCTGCCATGTTGAAGCGCTGAACGGATCTAATATATGCTGCTGTTGCAATGGGCAAATGATTCCGATTGATTGAATATACAGCTGTGATGATACCGAGGCCCGCCATGATAGCCGTAAATCACGTATTTCTACAGCCCAAGACAAGTAGTCCTTAATAAACATTCCATGACATGCTTTGTGGACAATGATAAACATTGGCATTCTATACAGAGGCTTGCCTGCAGGAGTTCAGGAAGGCCGGTCATTTGCAGGTATCAACACATCCATAAGATGAAGACATTGACACACTCGCGTCATAATTTTGTCTTGCCAGGAAGAAACGTAGACCGACCGTAAACATGGCTGATCTGCTGCACAGCCCTGGTCATCTCGCCGTTAAGTTCCGATCGGAGAAGCGCATATACTCTAAATAAAGGGCTCTCATGTCACCAGACATACTTCAGTTCAAGGGGCGTAGTGAATGTGACTTACCCGGCTTTGGCCTTTGGCGCCCACTTGGCTGCCAGTTCGGAAGCGACCGCCAGCATGTCATCTGGTTGGGCAATGAAATCGACCAGGCCATCCCGCAAGGCCTCTTCGCCAGTGAAGCGATGACCCTCAAGCAGTACCTTTCGCGCAATCTGTGGGCGCAGCTTTAACCGGGGAAGGACTCCGACACCGGGGAAATACATTCCTAGGTCCACGGGAGGCATCGAAATGAACCCTCGTTCGGAATTCATTACACGGTAGTCGTGGGCAAATGCTACAGGGCAACCGCCACCAAAGGTATGGCCGGTAAGAAGTGCGATGGTTGGAAACGGGAAGTCCAGGATGGTATGCAATAGCTACACATTGTCCAGCGGTGGCGTCAGTGGTCGGTCGTCTAAACGATTAGTATCGAGTTAGTTACAGGGTAAAAGCCCTCAGTGGTAGCATGAGGGTTTTGTTCGGCCTCATCCAGGTCGAGACCCTAAAGATGAACCATTAGCATCATGGTCTAGCGCGTCAACTATTGGATTCTATACTGTGCAAAAGAATTTTGCGTTGTTCCCTCTAGTAATAACTGCGCCTGCTGAGTTCTTGCCAAGCGTTTGACGCACAGTATTGAAGGCACGAATCAGCTCCTGGCAGAACTTGGCCGTCAATCGATTCTCAGCACCGAGCTCCATGGTGATCATGAAAACACAGCCTCGTCGCTCGAGACTCAGATTCTCAAAACTCCCTATTGCCCGGAATTCTGCCATGATCGGCTCTCGTCACGTAGATTGGGACAATGAAAATCAAAAAATTCTAAAAAAGGGAAGACTAAACAAGGGAAGAATGAACTCCTTTTAGAAAATGTCGTTCAGTGGAGAGTGCCTAAATATGCAAGCGGATATATTGCTCAATGGGATACCTCGGAGAAGGCTTTATGGTACGTATTGTACGTGTGGACGAAATGCGGGGAAGGCCAGGAACGCTGATCTGGAGGGGACGACAGCACTAGTATGCAGATCGGGATTAAATAATCCAACTGGATGCATGAAGCCGAGTAACCTAGGCCCGTCCGATAAGACAAACATTGTGAGAGACGCGGGGAAGAAGCGAATGCCGAGCCCAAATATAGTAGTGCCACCAAGCGTTAAACTGCTGTTGCACCGCGTGTACCGTTGACCGGTAAATAACCATGATGCGAACAGTGTCACTTGCCCCTGGTAAGGGGCTTTATAAGGGGAGTAATTCCTTTGTGTATTTCATCTTCACTCGCAATACCTTTCAGCCTACCATCAGGAGCATGTCCCGGCTGAGCGGAAGGTCTGACTTCACAGATCATCTGCAGCCCAGCCAGCCAGATGGCCCGGAGCTTCTAGCCAGGAAACGGGCCCAGTCTCATATTTCTGTCGATGAATTGGCACGTCATTTACTGGACCAGGATGGGTATCTTGAACGCCAAGCTCGGGTTTTACGCATCGTGGAGAAGGAACCACTCTTTGATAAGAAGCGCCAGGCAAACCTATCGCGAGAGGACCTCTTTAAGCTTGCGTTGGCACGAGCAAAGCTGTTGCGTCGCTTCGTCGATAAGTATGGGTGGGACACTGATGATTATAAGATGGCCGAGACGCTGGTTGACGACGTCTCGCCCTACTATCTGCATCTGCATATGTTTATCACCACCATCCGTGAGCAGGCCAGTGATGCGCAGCAGGCCTACTGGCTACCCCTGATTGAGTCCTTCAAGATCATCGGGGCCTATGCGCAAACGGAACTGGGCCACGGAAGTAACATCCAGGGCTTGGAGTTACAGGCGCGCTGGGATCCCGGGAGCAAAGAGTTCATTCTTCACAGCCCGACGTTAACCGCCAGCAAATGGTGGAATGGTAGTCTGGGACGTACAGCGAACCACGCCATTGTGGTGGCTCAGCTTCTCGTCCCTAATTCTGGAGGTGAATATGAAAGTCATGGTCCTCACCCATTCATTGTGCAAGTTCGGGATATGCGAACCCACCAGCCACGGAAAGGGGTTGTGATCGGTGATATTGGACCCAAGTTCGGATACGCCACCATCGACAATGCATACATGTTATTTGATCAGTTCCGGTAGGCCCAAGTCCCTGTCTGAGGTCCCAGTCGAGTTTTGCTGACCACGTCGACCGCCAGAATACCGCATTCGGCATTGCTGTCGCGCTATGCCAAGCTCGACCCGGACAGCGGACAGTTCTCAAAGCCGGCTGTGCCTGCCGTTGTTTATGGTACGATGACATACGTCCGGTCTCTGATTGTTCTCCAGTCCAGAATGGCCCTCGCTCGTGCAGTTACTATAGCGGTCTGCTACACCACGGTTCGGCGGCAGTCCAGAGACCGTGATGACCCTAAGGGCCCGGAGGTGGCAGTGTTGGAGTATCCCACAGTACAAATACGTATTCTCCCTCTGTTAGCCACTACATATGTGCTACATTATGCTGGGCTGGCTATGCAACGGACCTACCGAAAAGCGCGGGACCAAATCCAAGCGGGGGACTTTAGTGGATTGGCCCACATGCACAGCCTGTCATCGGGGCTCAAAAGCTTTTGTACTGAAATTGTCGCCGACGGGATCGAAACCTGTCGCCGGGCACTAGGAGGTCATGGCTATGGTGGTGCCAGCGGTTTTATTCGGCTATCCCCAGATTACCTCTCCCGTGTCACCGTGGAGGGGGATAATTGGATGATTACCCAGCAGGTGGCTGCCTACCTTATAAAGCGGATGCAGGCAGCTGTTGCAGATATCGACAGTGCGGCAGGTAACGAGACTGAAGACTCGTATAAGGAGTTCCTCAGGGCCAACAGGAATGGAGTCAATCTAGAGCCGTATAGGGTCTTCGACGATGACTCTAACATTGTCAGGAGCTTCCACCGCCGAACAACCGCCTTGGTAAGCTGGCCTCGCTGCGATACTCGTGTGTTGGTCTTCCTATTTTTTTAAGATTGCTAAATTGTCACAAGCTTTATGATCTTTATGTGGAACGCGTCACCAAGAAGAGGGCGTGGACTAGTCTCATGACTCAGCTGCACCGACTTAGTCAGGGTAAGTTGCTCACTGATATTATACTATACACAGGCTCCAGCTGACGGACCAAACCTAGCCCAGTCCCTTACTCTCCTAGTCGAAATATTCCACGATACCCTGCAAAATGATCAATCATTGCCCCAACAGGCGAAGGACACGCTGCGTGATCTGTACCATCTATTCGCTTTCTTTCATATGGAAACACAGGCCTACGACTGTAAGAGACGCCCATGGTGCGCTAAGCTGGTCAACTAACAGCCCGGTAGTTTTCCGTTGCGGGGCGGTTTCGCAACGCGATCTCGATGAGCTACCGAACCGCGTGCGACACCTGATGGCTCGGATTGAGCCTCATGCCGTCGCCCTGGTCGACGCATGGAAAATCCCTGATTATCTCCTGGACAGGTGAGACTCCCCTTTCGTTGCCCAGTTTGACCATGCTGATGCCACTCTGCCAAGTGCACTCGGACGGTTTGACGGTAAAGTCTATGAAGACTTGTTCTACCGAGCCCACCGTCTCAATCCTTTGAACGAAATCACATTTAACCCGAACTACTGGGAAGATGAACTTGTCAAAGGGGATGGCGGCGGATGGTCGTCTGTTCTAGCAAAACTGTGATAGGCTAGCAATGTTAGTATTAGATTTCAGCAAAACCCTTTCAGACCTGAACCCATCATGGGTTGGGTTTTGGGTCCAATTCATTGATTTATCTGTAAGGCGATTGCAGCTACATCCAGCAAGAATGTATACGCCCCCTAACTTACGTGGTAGAGGGTCCGGAAAGGGCAATTTGTGCTATTTGTGAGAGCTTCTGGCTGCAGGAAAAGCACCGTGATCGGGATACTTGAGTTCTTCTATTATCCGATCACCAGTCAGATTAGAATAGCCGGAACTTCCGCAAATAGTATGAATCCGTGGCTGTACAGGAATGAAGTAGACCTTGTCCAACAGGAACCATGCTCTATCCCGCCATGATTCGCGTAAACATATCCTTGGGGATGCCGACTGAAAGGTTAACCACGCTCACTGACAGCCACATGGAGAATGTCTGTCGCGCGGCTAATGTATCGGATTTTATCTTGTCGCTACTAGATGGCCTCCAGACACTCTGCGGGACCAGCCTAACTATAGTCAAGTTAAAGAATAGGTAGTTAATTTAGAATAAATAAGTTTAATACCGACAGTGACTATAGATATTATTTTTTTTCTTGGAATTTTTAGCTCTACTAGGCAGTACTAATTCGATTTTATAGAAAACACAGATAGATTTCTATATACTTCCGTGACCAGGCGCATACGGGGCCCCTGACTACATACATACTAGGGTATAAGCTTCAGTGCAATACAGCAAGAGAATCCTTCGCTGGTCACATAACCAGAAAGTTTTGTCCATTACTCAACATTATAACACCTCCTTACGGTGTGATGAGTTAACTTAGTTCAACCATCTTTGCTAAATCATCATGCATGTCTGCTCGGAGTGATTATTATACATTCCCAGCTCTAGTTAACCAACTCACTAGCTCATTACGGAGGAGATGCAATGACTTGCCAGGCCTGATTGCTGAAGCCCCCTGCCCCATTTGGGCGGGTCTAACCTTATAATCCCTAGGCCCGTGGATCGACAGTTGGTCCGACTAATCAATCACATTCGTTGCGAGCTACGATGGTCGAACGACTATGAATTAATTTGGTGCGTTAATTGAAGCTCGACTGAACCTACTTACCCTCAATGGTCATACTCACCTTTCTTCCACGGGAATTTCTTTGTCTGATCCCAAGTGAAGTTATTAACTAACCTGTCAGCTTGATTATTAATTTTCCACCACCACTAACTACTACTCCCCTTCGGGTCAGACATTCGACCTTTGCGTCGAAATGTTTAGATATATATTTTGGGTGGCGCAGCATTAAAGTTGATGTCATCAGTTATAACCTTAACCTTTTGGTCCCCGGCTGCCTCTCCACTACTCATAACGTGTTAACTTTGCATGGCAGATTTGAGCAGGTGTGGGTTGCTGTAGTCAGCCCCAATGACAGTTAGGCCTTCAGGGAAAAAATGTCGGGAGAGAATGGTGACTAGAAATGGAGAGCAGCGTAATTCTTGGACGACGGTGGGCCCAAGATTTCCGCCTGGGCCAATCCCCTGCCACTGTAGTAGAAATCTCTACTTTTCTCAATAGCACTCTCTCGGTATGATGAATAAACAGGAAAAAGACTAATTAACTTTTCGACCCAACACCTGACTATTGGTTCGCGGTCGGAGCTTGAGGTTGTCCTATCGACAATGATTTCTAATCACAGCGTAAAAGACACTCAATTACGGGTGTAGAGAGGTATAAGTAGAACAGACGCCGTGCACCCAGTATCATTTACCTCCCTGTGCAGTCAATAGTTTCTGACCACCCTGTACTATTCCTAATTGTTTACCCTGTTTATCACTGTCACGCCAGAGCGAGCACCTCCAACTTCCGGGCACTCCATCACCACCCCACAGCCATGACGACTCCTACCAAGATTGATGGTCAAGCATATTTTGCCAAATATCCAGGGGACAAGTATGTTGAGGGTTGGGCCTCCCTCTGGGACAAAGGTGATTATCTGCCCTGGGATCGTGGCTTTCCCAACCCCGCGCTAGAAGACACCCTGGTCCAGCGAGCTGGTACCATTGGCGGGCCCATCGCCCAGGACGGTCAGAGGCGGAAGGCCCTGGTGCCGGGCTGTGGACGTGGCGTCGACGTGCTCTTACTGGCGAGCTTTGGGTATGATGCCTATGGCCTGGAATGCAGCGCCACAGCTGTTGATGCGTGCAAGACGGAGGAGAAGGAGAACCATAGCCGGTACCGCGTGCGAGACGAGAAAGTTGGGAAAGGGAAGATCACTTTTATCCAGGGGGATTTCTTTGATGATACCTGGTTGAAGGAAATTGGAGTACCTCGAAATGGATTTGATGTTATTTATGATTACACGGTATGTATACTAACTCCCGCTATTGGCCTCCATTCCATCATTGCTCTTTTTCTCTCCACTTGTACTCTGCATTTTACAGGGGGACCAGCAAGATGCTTCACTCTCTATCTTTGGACTTTTGATATGTGCCATTTTCGACCCACCCTAGATCCTTCTGGTCTTTCTGGTCTTTTCTTCTAACAACTATCTAGTTTTTCTGTGCTCTGAACCCAGAGCTCCGCTCTAAATGGGCTCTCCGACACACTGAGCTCCTTGCTCCCTCAACTGCAGGTCATCTGATCTGTCTGGAGTCTCCTCGTCATAAGGACCCCTTGGCCCCCGGCCCTCCATTTGCCTCTCCCTCCGAGGCCTATATGGAGCACCTGAGCCACCCCGGTGAGAAGATCTCCTACAACGATAAGGGTCTTGTTGATGCGGACCCGTTGCGAGAGCCCAGCAAAGCGGGCCTGGAGAGAGTGGCACACTGGCAGCCAGAGCGCACGCACACTGTGGGCATGGGTGAGAATGGGGTGATTCATGACAGAGTCTCTATTTGGCGTCGACGTGACTAGAAATGTGCCTGCGCATTTGGGTGACCCAAAATGGGAGAAAATGTAAATGGAAAATATAGGTAATTTTGGTGTCCGGCCCTGGATGTCAAAGGCCAGCCCCTAGACGCTACAGGGACAGTCGAAATGAAGGGCCGGGATGCAAAGGGCGCTTTTTTTTTAAAGAAATTTCGCGGACATAGGGAACATATGCACTGGAAGGATTTCCTCAGCTCCACAGCGGGATCCTGCTTCTAATCGTCGCATCATGCAAAGTAAGCGGAGATTATATCTATTGTAGACAACTATTGTTCATTATACATAATTGATGGTATTTCGCACACAGGATTAAACGCCCAAGTATCATCAAGAGTTGCAAGGCGAATGGCATTCTCAACATCGCGCTTTCGGAACGCTGGTCCGCGACCGAGACAGATAGGGCAGAGGGAAAGATCTACGACAAGGTCAGTAAATGCACGGATAAGAAGACACAAAGAATCATTAATCTCGGTAATACTCACATTTAATAAAGCTCGCTGCGTTGAGCTGCGGAGCCGAATTGAACCGGGGACTGGAAAGGGGCGAGCTCAGGCCCTGAAGACGAATCCCTCGCTGCTGTAGCAGCCTTTGTACACCACTCGCATCCATCCACTCATCAGCACCCGATTCATTGACAATTTGCCACGTTCGAGAGGAAACGGCGAGTCGTTCAGGCGAGTAGCTGCTCCTCCTTGAATTGAGAACTTTTGTCCTCAACTCGATTGTGTCTCCTATTTCGTCGTGTCTGACGGCGACGAATCCGGAGATCAAGCAGTTGCGCTCGTCGTTGGCCAATCGTTTGCCGAAGATTGCTTTGACCCTTGGATCGTCTCCAGATAAGTTTGTTAATAGATAGTATCCAGTCTCGCAGCATTGTCGGACTAGAAGGTGTGAGATTGTCCAACGCCCTTGCTTTAAGAGATTGTCGGGCGATACTATAGTCGGGAAATTCAAGGCAGGACTAAGGATGGATGAGAAGGGGATATTCGGAGACGACAAGGGTATTCCGAACGGCAGAATTGCTTGTTCTTGGAAGGGTAGCGTGGGGGGCAGTTGTGATAGTCCAGGCCATTGAGCCGCGAGGTCCGACGAGGACTGGAAAGCATCACTGATTATTGGCAATGAATCAAGTTGCGTGATGAGCGGATTGTAATTTGAGATTATATCTTGTGTATCGCTCAGCGTAGGAGGCGTCGACAGCGATACGTCCGCCGGGGCTGCAGGTTGTTCGGCCTCGTCGCAGCCCCTTTTGGCAAGCGACACGCATTGCTGTGTGATTTTTTGCAGAGCAGCTGTGACACGAGGCTGATTTTGAAGAATCCCAGCCTCCAACAGAAGATTACTGAAGGAAAGGAACGACTCGCTGAGCTCTTCGATGCCCGACTCGAGTTCCTGTACGCGAGATTGCAGATTGACGATCGTGGTCTCTTTTCTCTTGCGATATGCATGCTGCGCGATGCGAAGCTGCCTTCGACGTCTCTGGATTCCTTGAATCAGTTCCAACTTGCTCTGGAGTTGCTCGGGATGTACCCACCTCGGAATCTTGCTGATCATCCGTCGCATTTCGTGGCCGGCCTCTCTTGCGAGGCGCGGGCGCGTCGGTCATTGCTTCGACCTTGGTGTATTGCTTTCGAGGCCTTTTTCCTATCTTGAAGACATGCTGTGATGTAATGGATAATCTGAGAATGCGAAGACGTGACGGTGTTGCTTTACTCATCGGGGTCCGGGCGTCGGGATTGTTGAATAATCGAAAAATCGGTGGGTCGCCACGATTGGCCCGAACGGCGCCCAAAGTTTATGGCTTTGAAATTGGCTGGAGTTGGAGATAAAACGGGCTCTCATGCTCCGTCCGAACGTCATCAGCTCATCATCAAGGCCGAGCGCGCCGCAACGAGGAATATAAATCGAATCATCGACCTCAGCTAACTCCATCACTCTCCATCTCCAGTGCTCCGAAATACCTTCACCCGTAGCGTACAGCGTACAAATCTCACAACATGTCTTCATCCACTCAGCCGATGCCAGTAGTTGCCTGCGGCAGAATCCCCGCGGTGGGGACGTTAATCTCTCAGCATCTGCTGCCTGAATATGAAGGTTCTTGATATATATTCCTGAAATAAACAAAAGTATGGTGCTAATGCTCCTCAGTCATCCACTTCATCCTGTCATATGAGGCTGCAGAGGCTGAGCTCCCGCATCTGCTGGCAGGTCGCGATCCTCAGTCTCGGAGCCCCAATGTGATCGGAACCCACGATTACAGCCGGCCGCCTCGCGCGGTAATCTTCGGTCGCGGCTATGAGCCTCAGCAGGTTGAAGAGCTTAAGAATAAATTCGCGGGTGTTGCTAAAGAACCTGTTGCTTGGGTGAGGGGAAACCCAGCGGATTTGCCGTCCGGGGCCGCTGGGCCTGACTATGCTCAGAATGTTGCGGCGGATATGAAGAAGGTGCTTAGTAAATGGAGGGACGGGGGAGGAAAAAACGAGGAGATCCTGGTGTACTAGTTACTTTGTCGCGGAGAGATTATCTGATGCCTTCCTTTTTGCCATTTCGAATCTCACAAATAAAAGTTCAAGGGCCGATATCAAGGATATTTGTAAGTGGTCTTGGACTTCGCTACATGGTTCCCTTTGGCTTCGATCTTTTGGCGGTCGATGTACTTCTTCTGGTCGAAGAATAGAACGAGAATAGGAGATTGAGCATCCAAATGTTTACACCAAAATCCATACATTAAAGCTGATGTTTCATCTGCGACATGGGAAGTACCATCGTTGTTCACTTTCTCCTTAGCTAGTTCAAGTGGAACAATTCCACTTCCCGGAGTATCGTATATTCCTGAACTCTATCTGTGAATAGCTTGGGGAAGGAAGGATGTAAATTAATAGCTTTGTTCACAATAGTGACGGCAACATCGACACTGTATGCAAATAGAACGAATACAAAGAGATCGATTCTTGTCTCCTATATCTATGTCTTTAGACCTCCTTATATAGCTTCAGGATCCTTCTCTACTAGGCAAGTCTTTCCCACTGAAGAGTCGGTGAAAAGTCAGGTAATCTCCCCTCCGGCCGATTCTAAACCGTAGGGGGTCCGAGGTCTTATGTAGGAAGGACCGGGACCAGGGCCTATGGACGATGAACCAGGATATAGGGTCCCGAGGGTTCTGCAGGCTTCACGGGCCGATTCCTCATCGGCTCCGTGACACTCAGTGATTAGTTGCCAGCCAGGGAAGTTCCAGCTGCAATGTAATCAGATAGATAGAATCGGATGTACTCATTACAGAAAAGAATATATCCAGAAATACCTGTATTTTATTCTTGTTCTCAGTATACTCATCTGTGCTGGTCTGCAGTACTGGGATACAATCCTATACTTCCTACAGTTTTATATAGATGGTAGCTTTCCAGGGTTTTTCTTTACTGGCTTTGTCTAGAAACTGTCTCTAGTATGATACTTGTACTTTTTCAATACTTTAGATCTATATTCATTATATATATTATATATTTTGAGACGTAGTAATAGAGCTAGGGTGATCCCGCCCGAGCTCTACACAGCTTGCATGCTATCTCCGGCAGAGTTGGTTGACTTCAACTTTGTTGAACTTTGAGGTCCGGCGTGAACCACTACTTGGAGTATAGTATAGACTGTGTATTTGGTGTAAAATGGTCAACTGTCTGGATTATAATTTAAATAAGCTTCTGAACAGCTGTGTTGAGTGCTGGTCAGGTCTTTATATTCTTCTACGGGCCTATTTGCCGGGTTATCTCTTTATCAATCTTGCTCTATTCCGCACGGTCATACACTTTCCTTGCCTCGGTAAATAATATGGCCTGTATCTATAGCTTCTATTAATCTTCTCTATTGCCTGGATATTTGCTGTCTCTAGATCGAATTCCTCTGCTGGGGTGCGGTGCACAACAACTCTGTACCGCGGCTTTACTAGTTTCGTGCTGTTTCCCAGTCCATTCAGCTATTCAGTGTTGTTGCGGGCCGCTTCCGCTGACTTGTAGTCCTCGAACCGGATGATGTAGCCTATCTTGGTAGTATAGAAATGATCTGAATAGCCTCAAATTTATCGTTTGGGTAAGGCAGACCAACACGCCGACAGGCCGGTGGGGCTGCTGAATAAGAGAGGACTACACTAAAATTCAAAACCGGCGTCTGGGTCCTACGCTTGCTGGTACTTTTCCATCTTTTCCATCCCTCAGACCCACATCTGAAAATCCACTATTCTTTGGATTCTTCTGTCCACCGCTTGTTACTAATGGTTGTGCTGTATGTTATGGGGTATTGTGGGGTGGAATGGGCTTAGAATCCCCGGCACTCCATGTAATATTTCTTAGACAGATAGAAGCAATACATTATGTACATTCATTGTATGATAACCCAATTGAGAGCAAACGGGCCGCGTCAGCTGTGATTTTCTTTGTCTGGATCGAAAAGAGCTTTCAATTGATAATAGGTGCGGCAGGGTTGGTAGCGTTGCATACCCCTTGCCTGTTGAACCATTTCAATTTATATTATGCTCAAAGCTGACGCTGTTGATTCCTTCCTTGTAGTATCCTTTTTTCTTTTGTCTAAACAGTTTCGCCCGCTACACCGCTCCCACTAGAAGTTCGAATAAGAATCTGCTAAAATGACCGAAACTGGGGGAGATTTGGTACTGTCGAATACATAACTGTAAATGTGTATTTTAGTGACAGAGTGTTTATTATACTTCGCCACCTTTACCGGTTGTGATATACTGGGTCTGTTTTTGCTACATATCATGCACTAAAAATCAAATCTGACGCCCAGGTTTTCCACTCGTTGATTATCCAGATCCAAGAACTAGTCCATTAATGGCTAGTCCATATTATTCCCACCAATCACCTTTCTCTTCTTAGACTCTATGGAGCCTTACCTAGAGTTGATCGGGTTCCCCGCAAAACCCGACCCGAACTCGGAAAAGTCATGTGACCTAAAAATCTAGATTTTTCTAGAATTTTATATACTTTTTTATATAAATCTAGGCTATATATATATCTATATAAAATATTAAATCTATATATATAAAATTGATAGAGATATAGAGCTTTAAAAATCGATTTAAAGTTCTAGTCTAGACCTATATAAGTAAGGTATATAACTACTAAGCAGTTAACTACCTATTCAGGACTAGTATAGGGTTTTTCGGGTTTTTGCGGGGCGGGTTGACCTAAAATTAGGCGGGTGCGGGTTCTAGATTTTGGACTCGAACCCGACCCGATATCAACTCTAGCCTTACCTAACCTTTTCTGAACTAGCTCGTGAATTAAGTAGGTACTATTTTTTAGCACGGACCATCCAAGGGCCCTCACCGCTCGTACAGTTAAGCGGTGAGGTGCGCGTATATCATTTGGAGTCGAGATGCACACTGCCACCTCACTTGGCATAAGGTGCAGGTTACAGGTAATCCGCCCCTTGGGGGAGGTCGGGCGCCCACAAAATGGTCATGTGATTCCCATTCAGGGGCATGTGCCCCTTTACCGTGCATGTTTTTAATTACAAGGCACCTGAGCTTTTCAATACAAAATAGCTCCTTTACCACTTAAAGTTCTTTAAGAACTAGTTAATATGTATTATCTACGGAGGTGTGTTCCTAAAGTTATTAAACTACGCTAGTGTATATCACGTGATATTTGGCCAATAAGCATTACTTATATATTCCAAAGAAACATTCTATTGGCCAATGGTCACGTGCCACATGACCCACCTGTTTGATAACTTTAGGAACACACCTCCGTAGCTACTCGTTAAATAGATTTTGTAACCTAAGCAACTTGTTGCTAATAATTATAAACCAGTTTGAAAAGTTTAAAAACGTATTATTAATTCTTACACTGTTTAATTGTTTATTATCTTCGTCTGAGGAAATAGTAGAGATATATTCAGAGCTCATTTTTAAAACGAAGTACTTAGGAAGTAGTTAATAAGTAATTAAAAAACTTTCGTCTAGAATATTTAGGAACAAAGATTGAAACCGAATTTCGGGGGAAAGGTATCAGTATTTAAGAGTTCAGGCCTTGTTGTGTGGTCAGGACTTACACAGCGATCGACAGAGTGTAAGTGGTGCCTCTCGTCGCTAAAGACCAATAATTGCCTGGTCAGGACTGACACAGCGATGGATAGTCTGTGAGTGATAACTCTTCGTCGCTAAAGAGCAATATTTACATGGTCAGAGCTAACAGAAAGTGTCACACAGCTTTATTTAGAACACGACCCCCTGGGTAAGGTCTTTTCATCTTGACGGCTCCTTGGCTAAGGACAATAATCTCGTGGCCGGGACTGGCTGAGAGCGGTTGAAAGGGCGTAAGTAACACAGAGAAGTAACTGATAATCAGCTAGAGCTTATTAACTACTAATAATCACACTTAGGTCGAGGATGCTTCTTTGTGGCTTATTCAAGATAGTTGATAACAGTGGACAGATTTCTAAGACTCCCTTTAGTTGGCCCGAGTCATGAAGGAGCGTCTTTCTTTCAACCTTGATGTAGGTTTTCTCCTAGAGTTGCTAGGTTTCCCTGCATTGTTATGCAAATGCAAAGGTCATATTATTGCTGAAACTTTGAGAATCGGTGTGTCCACAGCAGTAGCCTGGAAAACAGTACATAGTTGTGTTTTGCCTAGCAGGATTACTTCTCTCGTCGTAGGTACGACCCGTAATATGCCTAATGTGCGCAGACATAATATACCACGTAGATGGAGGAATAAACGAAACAGAAAACCAGGTCATGCATTCCATATATAACCGTCATGGGGGATAATACCAGTCGCCACAGTAACAAGGACACATTTAATCATCTTACAAGCCAATAGTCGCAATCTAAAAAGCTACGGACCCAAGCCAAAATGAATAAAATTTCTCAATGCACAAAAAGCCCGCCTTCTAACACGCCGTGGGGCCAATCAAACTTTGGTATAAGAAAGATAGCTGTCAAACATATTTGGCATCATCGAGAATTTCTCCAGCGGCTTGGTCAAGGCGCATGTTTGGTTTCATCACGCTGGCCTATTCTTTTATACTACGTAGGAAGCGACGGGCTGTTCCAATTTGAATTCCTCTTTGAACGGAAGGCCGGCGTCTAAGTCTTCAAGGATCCGTTCAAGATTGAGGCGATTTTCCAATATCACCTTGTGGAACCTTCCAGAAATCTGCTCTGTATTCCTCCTTGGTAGCGCGTGATTCCAGCCACTTGCAGTATCCCCTTACTGCCGCTTCCCGAGGCCCAGGAATTACAAGAGGCTCATCAGGTTTAGTTGGGGACGAGGTAACCATGGACACACCCCTGTTTTGTGCTGGCGGAACATTGACGCATAATAGTTGGAGGATATAATGGTCCGGTCGGTGCCATATAAACCTTTTTTGACTTCCTTCCTACCTGACTTTCCAGAACCAGGTATCGACAGATATCGCTAGGGACATCACCATGATAATCAAGGCTACCACCACCATCAACATGCTCAATAAGTCGTTCTAGATGTAGGGCGCTCAGTTTGTAATGTTTTTGTCCGTCGGGCCTTCCCAGCACCAATCAGACTTAAGCGGGCTTGAATGAATATGACACCGTATACGGTCATATACGACACTCCACGTTGACGTTCGCCCAGTTTTCTCTTCCTTGGCAGCAATATAAAGCATTTGTCATTTCACGCCCGTCACCATAACTCGGATACCAAAATTCCCATCTCGCGGGGCAGGTTGGCCTAGGTCTCGAACCATAATAATATCCTCCAAGGTTGTATCTACCAGTTTCATATCGACGGACCGGACAATAGCTGCCAAGGCGAGGTAGAGTTCCGCGTACGCAAGGCTTGGACTTGTTAGACTAGTGAGATATGGAGGGACTAACGGAAGACACACTGCATGCCTATGCATTGTCGGCTTCCTTTATTGAAGCTGACAAGGTAACGATTCAACGATTCACCCTTATTAGAGGCTTCAATCCATCGATCAGGGCGAAAACATTCTGGATCTGGAAAAAGAGTCGGATCCATGTGGACGAAGTATGCATGTTGGCTGACCGGGGTCTGACAATTATGAACATTGGCTGAATTCCTTTTTGAGTACCTAAGCGGGCTTAGAAACTTACACCTGGAGGTATAACGTAGTCGCGGTATATCAAGGGGGCGACTGGCGATATTCTGGGCGTTCGACTCGCTATTCCCATCGAGAGACGAAGGGATTCTTTCACGATGCCTGTCTTGAATAATTAGTCAACAGTCGATGCCATTTGTTCCCGAAAAAGTAGGCTCACAAGATATGGTAGTTGTGCAAGTTGTGTAGAAGTCGGCGGGGCGGTTTTCCCAAATGCAACTGACTTAAGTTCTAGCTGAAGCTTATACATCATGTTCCTGTCCTTCAGTAAATGAAACAAGGCGACTGATAGTGCCCGGGACACGGTCTCTGTGCCAGCGCCGAAAATTGCCGCTGCCTCCTCTTCTAGACGAAGAAGAGTCTTTTCATTTTCTGGTACATTTGCAGCAACCAGGGCATCAAAGACTGTTCTGACAGAAGAGGCCTCAGCATCAGTATTATCAACGATCGGTTGATTTTCAAGAGAGTGGAGGGCCTGTTGTCGGAGCATGTCTCGAACCGCAATCACATCGGCCATGGAAACATGCATAAACTGCAATATTCCTTGTGGTATATAGTTGAGAATCTTGATGATCCATGGCATAAACCTATTTATATGACACATAGACATGACCCAGCTGACCGCATCAATCATCTGGTTCTCAAATATCTCTTGCTTGAGATAACCGTGGCTGCTTCCAAAGCAGCAAGATGTGACTACATCAGCGCTAAATGCCGAAAGCATGCGATGGAGCCCGAGAACAGTGCCAGTATTGCAAGTCGACCTAAGACGAGTGACTAAATTGTTTACCTCTGTTTGAATCGCTGGTTCCATTCTCATAACACAACGCCGAGAAAAGAAAGTTGTCAGGAAGCTGCGTCGAAGACGATGATGCTCATGCTTACTCGTAGCAACCATTGGATTGCAGGTTGTGAATATGATCGTATGAGCGGGATCCTTGTCCCGCTTATGCGGAGCTCCAGCATATATGTGGTCATAGTAACTGGGGTCTTTGATATGAAGCTCGCGTGGATTGATCCGTATGATGGGGCCTTCGTATTATTAATAGACACTCGAACATATAAGACTCAGGGTTCCAACCGTATGCACAGTGCATTCGATTAATCTTTTCGACATACGTGCCACCTTTGATCACATCGTAATAAAATTCATATAGATGCGAGATGGCCGCCAGTTTTGGCCCGGGAAATTTTCGCAGTGGATGAAGGAAGAGGCGATAGGCCGTGCGCAACAATAAGCTCGTTACAAGGAATAGGACAAAGAGTGCACATATTTCTAGGCTATTGAAACCTAAGTGGTGCAGAGTGATCATGTGAAAGTTGAGCCACATGATATGTCTTAGGCAGCTAGCTTCAGGATGTCAAAATATGTGTGGCAGAATAATGGAAATGCCTCCTAGAATCTAAGTACCATCAATTTATAAGATTTTAGAAAGCAATGAGTAGGACGAACAAAGTATAGGCTACCAAAAATGATTCTTCGCTGATAAGCTACTCAATTATGTGGTAATGATCAGCTATTCATTATGAACTTGTAGACCCTTACTAAAGAAGGCCTGATTCTTAGGTTGCAATCAGCATGGGATCGGCGGTTCATATAACCCGTTATGGGGCTGCTGACCATGCCGACGGTAAGAGAGGATTTCCCCCTTGCCTACATATACGTGTAATCACTCCACTAGGCGTGGTATCTTCAAGATTGGACAGAACAGACGATTTTCTGTCACTTCATTAGAAGTTCGGATACCAAGAAGTTAGACCTTGATTTACGGTCTTTTCGAATTTATTCTAGCCCACAATCACCCCAGAATTTTCTACTGTAGTATTCAGACATTATAATCATGTTGGAGACACTACCATTCTCTGTATTACTCATTCTAATACTTTTATTGGCTATCCTCCTGCGACCGAATACACAAAGGGCAACAAAATATATCGAGCCACCCTTGATCTCAAGTGCAGTCCCCATGATCGGCCATCTGATCGCATTCGCCTACTATGGACTTGGGTATTTTCCACTGCAGAGGTAAAGCTGCTAGATATCATAATACAATTCTGTGCGCTGATATGTACAGCACGAAAACAACGCAGCCTGTCTTCAGCATAAAAATCCTGTTCCAAAAGGTGTATATCATAACGTCACCGCGGCTAGTATCGGCTGTTCAGCGCAGTTATCGCACCATGTCTTTTGACCCGTTGATAACTCGCACCGCAAGGTGTGTTGGGGGTATCACAGGGCCTGGACTGCAACTTATCCGCGAAAAAGCATCCCAAGGCCAAGGGCTCGGGCATCACACAACGGCTACTATGCGTCACACTCTCATGGGCGAAGGCTTGGACCAAATGAACAAGAAGATTATCCCCTGTCTCCAAAAAAGCGTCCAAAATCTAAAAGATCATCGTGGCGGACTTGATCTCTTACAGTGGTGTAGACTCACACTCACAATCGCGACAACGGAGGCAGTTTACGGGTCGTTAAACCCTTATCGTTGTGTCATTGCGCGCGAAGCCTTCTGGTAATTTGAAAATCATTCCAATGCAGCTTCGGCGCCTTGAGCACTGATAAGATAATATATAGGGAAATTGAGAAAAATTTGAATGCCCTCATGATGGATATTGCACCTTGGCTGTTCGCACGAAAGGCCTGGATGGGGCGAGAGTATCTGGCAAATGCTTTTATGGAGTATTTTAAGGAAAGTGGTCACTTAGAATCGTCGCAAATGGTGTACACAAGATGGAAAACGCAACACGATGCTGGAGCAACATTGGAGGATATTGCTCGTCTCGAAATTGTGATGGGCCTTGGAATTCTCTCTAACACGGTTCCTACCTGCTTCTGGGTTATCTTTGACATTTTCTCACGTCCCGATCTACTCAAAGAACTGCGTGAGCAAATACAACAGACTTCACTGTCTGTCGACTGTGACGGGCTCCATACCGTCGATATGGCTGCAGTTCAAGACAACTGTCCACTGCTGCTTGCATCACTCCAAGAGACGCTTCGGGTTCGATCGAATTCAGCTCAGTTAAGGGTAGTTCACAGGGAAACAGTCTTAGATGAATCATGGCTGATCACTGCCGGCTCGGTGCTTGTGATTCCGGCTGCATTGATCAATAAAAGTGAGTCTGTATGGGGGCCGAACGCCAACGGATTCAATCCTCAACGATTCATGACCGAAGTTCCAAAAAAGAACAAAGAATCGGCATTTCTCTCATTTGGTTTATCCCCAAACATGTGTGCTGGTCGTCACTTGGCTACGGGTGAGATTATTGCTCTTACGGTGATGTTAATTTTGCAATTTGACATCTGTCCTTGCGAGGGTACCTGGAAAATGCCACCCATGAATGTGAAGGCATTAGCTGCATCATTGAGCCCACCGGCGGATCAATATTCCGTAACCATTAAAGAGAGAGAACAATTCAAAGGGGCGAAATGGAATTTTGTGGTTGCACCAGGAATGGGAAGACAGAATTTGATCGTCGGATAGAGCCCTTACGTCGAGCCAGGAGAATGGTAGCGTAGTCTGGCTGCCTTCGATGTTTTTTATTATTGAACCACTTTTTTTTTTTTTTTTGGTTAAAAACAATGCCCCTGAATAGTCTCTCAAGAAATGTGAATTATCTGCGTGCGGACATGCCCTAGTTGCTTCCTTACATCTAGAGACCATGCCTATTACTTGTTGACGTCCTAATCTAGGCTCGGGGGCACATTATCTGTTGTTTTCCTGCAGGCTGAGGTCTGTAGAGTGGGGTAGGATTATACATCCGAACATCTCCGAGCTGCCATCCTTACCTTCAAGCGGTCACGTTTATTATTTGCTCACTTCCATTGCCTAGAGACATTCAACCTCGTTTCCCCTGCAAACCCAGGTTGGTCTACATAGATCTGTAAATCCAGATGATCAAAAAGCCATTGATGACTGTATAGTAGCAGTTGATACTGTTCGTTTTCAGTCCATTCAAGGCTAGGGTGCATAAATGTCTCAGGTTCATGCGAATAAGAAGCATTGTAGATTTGCTAAACTAGCCCTGTCGCCTTCTGGGACTTACTGAAGAACGGGGTTTCCAGGATAGCATAAATGAGATGGAGCCTTGGCGTAGAAACCTTTGGTATCACTTTGTTTGTTACTTGGACAGATCTGATATAGCATATGAAGACGCACAAGCGGGATGAGTGAGGACGGTTACTGCCAAGAAAAGAAACCAGGGTTTGACTACAGAAACAATCTCGGTATGGCGGTTTCGTATCAGTCCTGATTCGGAATATTTCATTCGTATCATGAGATCCAGAAGAATCCTTGCATGGAAGGAACCTTATGGAATTGTGACTCGTTCATTGCTGGCTATCATTCGTGGGACAGGTTACAGGGGTTATGAAGGTATAAATGATCTCAAATATTGATGTAGACCGCACCAGTTACCGAATGCTTTTCATGCCATTTAGTTCAAAAATGGATGTCATGAGAAATACTCAGATCATGCCGCTAGGTTTCTCAATGGTCCGCCGGTATGAATTCTGGGCTACTCTTGTCCTTCTGTTGTTACTTTGTGGTCTTTCTGTCCTCTTCTCTCAGTTTATCAGGCAGGCCCACTTTCCTGATGGAGCACCACGGCCACTTGGAGAGGGCTATCCTATACTTGGTGCACTACGGTTCTTTTCAGATCGGTACAACATGTACTTCGATGGCATTTCTTTGTCTAGAACGGGCAGCTTTAGCTTTTATTTTGGCAAACATCAAATTGTTGGAATTTCGGGTCTCGAAGGCCGCAAGGTTTTCTTTCAGGACAAAGCGATGGACTTAAGCCAGGGGTGAGTAGCTTTAAGTGCAGTTCTCCTCGGAAATATGATATCGGCTTACTTTCGCAAAGTTACACACTTCTCTTAGCTACAACTCCGTCTTTTAGAGCATCACCCCGTCCTCCTGATGAATCACTCCATTCATCCAAATGGTTTCGTCATACTCTTGCCGGCATGATGTCAAAAGACAATCTTGTCGCAAATCTTCTGCCCATGATTAAAGACACTGACACTACTTTCAAGGATGTAACTGACCCCATTACTGACACTGGCATTGTCAATATATTTGAGGAGACCAGCCACATTGTATACCAGTCGACGATGCGAGTCATCGGTTTCAACAAGATAGCCGACTCAGACGAGCTCTGTAGCACGACACTCAAGTTGTTCCAATGTATCGAAAACGGAACCTCCCCATCGCGTATCATCTTCCCATGGTTACCTACCCCAGCTTTTCTTCGACGACTCACTGCAGGCATAAGATTGTATCGAATTTTTAAACGACTTATTCAGGTTGACGAAGATACTGATCAAAGGATTGACGATACGTCTCAGTCACTCGCGAGAAGTGGAAGTCCTATTGAAGAGATTATTGGTGTGAGTGGTTCTAACGCCCGCTGACCAATGTTAAGTCAAGGCCTATGGTGGCGCTTTCTTATTGAATAGGTTTGGATGATAACAGATGAATATCAAATAGTTTGTACTTGGTACATTATTTGCAAGTCAAGTCAATACTCCTATTTGTGCTGCTTGGCTGCTAGTCTATCTAGCCACAAATCCACACTGGTTAAATCTAGTGCGTGCTGAGATCGACTCTGTACTAAAAAAGCATGGAGATCTAGACGAGACACCTCATGAAACATTTGGCCGCCTGCATATTGACGTGTGGGAGTCCGAGTTTCCTCTGATAGAGCTATGTTTGCGTGAGTGTATCAGGCTTCACCTTGCTGGGTCAGCATTTCGCAGAAATATTAGTGGCCAAACTGTGCCGATTGGTAGTACTGGAGAGGTCATACCGAAAGATGCCTATCTTGTTAGTATTGATTTCCTGAATCCCTCTCGTTGCACGAATCCTGAACCTGACATGCTGGACAGTTTTACCTCGTTGATGAAGTTCATTTCAACCCAGATATTTACCCCAATCCAAACCTGTGGGATCCTGGTAGATATCTCCCAGGTGCGCCTAGAAGCAACAATATTCCACTCAGTTATCTTGGTTGGGGAGCCGGCCGGCATCCATGCGGTAAGCTGGGACTTCACCTATTGTAAATGAATGAGGACAACAGCTAATGTGACGTGGCCTAACGCAGTGGGCATGAGAGTAAGTACATTGAAACCTACGAATATTACAATTTTCTTGCTAATAGCATCCCGCTTAGCTTGCCAAGCTCAATGTGACGGTTATCATAACCAGTTTTGTTTCTATGTTCAGGTTTACCCTGTGCAATGACCGAGGAGAGCCTGTTACTGAGCCACCGATCCCAGACCGCAATTTACATAGTCCGCGTAAACCATCTGTTCCTCTCAAGTTGAAGGTCAAACGCATGTAATTATCGCATCAGCAACAATCGTTGAGCATACGGTTTCCTTTTAAGCTCTATTGTCGTTTAGATGTCATTCGCAACGTCATATACCGTGATTATGTTAGAATAGTAAATAATATTAGTAAATCTTTCGTAGATATGTATACCCTAGTACATGGGGGATGTACCCGCATCCGGGCCCGCTGATTGGACCGATTTTGGTGTTCCCCTGCGCCCCCGCCGCCCAAAGTGCGTGGCAATGTACCCGCTGGCCAGTTATATCTTATTGTCAGCGGTCAACATCTCTGTCAGATTAGACAACCAGATTTTATCGGGAATCCAGGTTATTAAAAATATTTATCTTCGGGGAAACACTGCGGTAATAGTGTAGATAGCTCAATCAAACCTTGGTTTGTGGGCTTAGCAGAGGACGATGGAGTCACTTAGAAATTTCATTACCTGTCCCTTGGGATTCTGCCTCTGGAGGATATGGACGACTATCTAATGCCAATACTTTTTTCGACGAAATCCCGAATATTCAGAAACAGCAAAGAAGATTGCACGTGTAATCTGGAATCTTAGGTTGAAGGCAGTGATAAGGTACCAGCCTCTGATTTTATAGTCGTATTGATTATTTTACTCTCAAGAGCCTAATAATGACGCAATACTGCTATATAACTCTCTGTTCTAGTTTTGAGGTTTGTGTTAAATTCTTAAGCCTTATATCGAGCTGTAATTTCCTGCCAAGTGACCTGTTTTGACCTCGGATAGGACGTCGCGTCAAGCTGATTAGACTCTGGACGCCTGACAGGGTTAATAGTTCCATCTACCAGCTGCTCTTTGGACGGAGATCAGGACCCGTCAAAATTAAAGACAATCTCGCCGCTACGTCTCAATTTTATTGTCAAGAAAAATACCTGCTTCGCACTCCTGGCAATATATATATGCTTTTAGGAACAGCTGAATCTTCCGTCGGTTCCGTTGTTGGCTCCTTGACCTAGCACTATCCGATCGCCCCTTTTTATATTCCCTCCCTTTTTTTGTCGGAAAGAAGAATTGTTACAACGCACTTTCTATTCTAAAGAGAAAAGACTTTTAAAATAAGTTATTACTAATATTTACAATTAAAATACTTAAAAATTATCTTCTATAATATATCATTTTTCTACAGAGAATATTTTGCTAAAGCTCTACTAGTAGGGCCTTGAAAGAGCCCTTCTATATAAGAAAAAAAAGTATCAGTATAGAAAATCTTTACAGTTTCAATTACAAGCTCCTGAGAATAGTAATACAGTGTTTTATTTATCTACTAAAGTCCAGAAGACTCGTGTGATCGCACCTACGCTGAGGTAACGGTACTACAGAGCTACGTGAGGGAGCCTTTCCCTTTAGCTACGGCCCTAGTGACTGCACCACGGGCTTAACCCTACGGTGCTTAAATACCCTGTGTATATAAAGGACGTAACGACCCCTACTCTTAGTAGGAAGTCGGCAACTCTCTACCTCTCATAGCATACCGCTACTTGCAATCTCACTCGGATACTTTAAATATATAAAAAAAAAAGTAATAGAGAATACAAAGACTTTAAAAGAGATAGGGAAATAGTAAAAAAGACAGGAGAAAAAAGCAAAACAACAGTCAATTAAAAATAATCGGAGAATTAAGACATACCGTACTTGATCACCTGACGCACGTCCCCACCTGCCGCACGAATTTCTGTATGGCAACCAACATTAAAAATGAAGCTTTAAAGCAACATACTAAATAAATTATACTTGGTTTTTCTGATGAAGCAGAGATATGATGCTACTAAAGCTATATAGAGCTTTTTTTCAATCCCGGAATCGTTGTGGGAGGCGTATTTGCCTTCCACGACGATTTATAGATAAACAGCCCTCCCCACCAATCTTAGGCTCTGGAATAGTAATATCTTGCTTCTTTTGAGATATAGCCGGCTTAGGACACTTCTTCTTGCCTTTTTGGACCACTTTGAAGTCATTTTGAAGCTGGTTATCAGCTTCCTTAGCCAGACACTCTTCCTCCTTCTGGCGCTTCTTTTGCTCTGCTTCAAGGAGGCGTAATTCTTTATTAGCTGCTCTGATTTGTTTTCTTTCCTCAACTAAGCGTTGCTTCTCTTGCTTCTCTTGCTGCCGGCGAAGCTTTTCTTGCTCTTTAGATGCCTTAGCAAGCTCTATAGCAGCTTCCTTTTCACTCTGAAGCTGCCGCGCTTGTTGTATCTTGCCTGGCGAATAAAATACAGCATAGCCATCCTCTGGAGCTCTTAATTCAAATAAAAGAGGTTTTCCACGCTGCCGCTTCTTCTTCTCATTCAGAAGAGCATTCTCGAGACCCTCACAGCGTAGCTTTAGCAAGATATTCTCTGTTGAGAGATGGTGTATTGTAGAACTAAGCTTTTTTGATCCCTCATCATAAACATCAGAAACAACCTGTCGAAGAAGCTTTTCGATTCTTCTCCAGTCATCTGCATGTAATATAGACTGGGATGACTCACTGCTAGATGGCCGTTGATCGTCTTCTTTGCTAAACCGCTTTAGAACAATCTCGGGGTCCCAGGGCGATATACCAACAGATTTCCATGCAGAATTGATATTTTTAGATGATAAAGCTCTTTCCCAGCTCGGCCAAAAGAGGCGGAAGAAGTCACGCTTTGTAATATGACTGAGACCCTGGGAGGCATGTAAAAAGTTCTCCAATTCGTTGCTATAGGCTGTAGAAAGCGGCCCGAAGATACCAACATCAAGAGGCTGTAGGGAGTGTGTTGAATGCGGT